CTTCTGGGTTCTCCTGATTCCTGTTGCACTTTATATTTTGGTAATTCACTTTTTGAAATATATATATATTTTATTTATTATCTGACTTCATCTCCGTTTGCTCTCCTTTTTCCTACTCGATTTGTCAGTATTTTATCAAGAATTTTCAAATTGCTCAATACTATAAACACAACATTCCCTTGCATCGTTTACCTTTTTTTTTTTTTTTTTTTTTTTTCATCCTATCTTGTCATCACAGAAATAAGCATTGCCTACATATATACAAAATTCTTCCTCAATTTCTCCACATAAAGTTATGAAAAGTTTGTTACTCACTAAAGTAATCAATTGACAGTAGTAGGATCACACCTAATCAATACTGCACTTTTATCATCGATTTTTTACTTAGTGGTTAGATCAGTCTAGCAGATATAAGGTCAGAATTTTGGAAAAAAAATATATCTACTTAAGTTCAAAATGTACCATAAGCAAGTCATATTCCAATAGATGATTAAATATCCTTTGTCATCTTGGAAATACCACCATTGCTAACAACGTGATTGATAATTTCTTCGGAATTTGAAATGCTGTTGAATTTACTGAATTACCGCTTACTTCTAAGTTTATCCCTAATGCTTGTGTAAATTCAAGAAAATTTTAGGTTTTTCAATTTTTTCTGACTAAAAATCTTTTTCTGATTTTTTTTTTTTTTTATATATTTAAATTTTCTGATTTTTTAAATTCGACGGTAAATGATGATAAAAATTTCAGTTTGATTTCTATGCGTTTTCGACAGCTCTTCTGATATCTTTTAGTAAACAATTTGACTGTATGGTCACTGAGTATTCCATCCGAACAACACTTTGGTTACACATTATTCTGGTTTGTTTTCATTTTGTACAAATCAAATTACTCAATTCTTCAAGTTCCAAAATATTTGTCAAATGTTGGAAATACAGCCGTAAGTAATTTTGATAATTGATGGGACAATGCTGAATAAGTAGTTATACTAGAAAAAATGTTAATGACATCTGATAAAGAGTATATGAATTTTTGAAATCTAGTGGCATCCAATAAAGAAGATATAGAAATTTTCTTTTGTTTCGTCTTTGTTTCGGTATCATTGTTCATTTCACAAAAATTTTTCACCAGCAGTTCTTTTTTCTCACTTTAACCTCTTTTTTACTGGAATTTATATTTTTGTTCATTTTAATGAAAATGGAAATGAAAACTGAATGAGACGTTCAATTAGGTCAAAAGGATAAAGAATTTATTACATAAAAGTGTCCTTTTTTATCAATTTAGAAAATTTGATTATAGAAAAGTAATCGTATGATTAACAGAAAAATGTTTCAAACAAAAGAAGACACATTTTTTCAGTCTATGTTATGCGCATTCTATAATTCTTTTGGTCTTTACATACTATTCGATCATGCCGACAATCCACTTTATGAAATTGCACTCAATTCGACATTGGTTTTTGTCGCTACCTATATTTTTCTATGGACAAATTATTTTGGTCCAAAGGTACTTATTATTACCATCACCAAAGATGACTTTTGTTATGAAAAAAAAAAAGAATAAAAAAACTGAAGTCATTAATAACATTTCTAATTGAAAAAAAAAAAAAAAAAAATGTATAAATGAAGTTTTTAATGGTTTTAAAATGATTGCTTCAATGTTTTATCTACCAAATGCTTCAGCGATTTTTTGTTTAAGAGTCACTCAATAATTTTAACTTGTTCCCAAATAATTTCCAAATAATTCGATCATATACAGTCTTACTTCACACCTAAAAATGCTTTAAACATTTGAAAAACAATCCTTATAGAGTAAATATACTCAAATACTTTTTTGAATCACTGATATTAGATATTCACTAAAAGGTCACTGCATTGAATATCTTAACATATAACATATCGCTTAAACGTAGCATCAGTAGAGGTAAATTTTTGAGAGGAGAATTTATAACTGAATTATTATTATCAGATATAGGAGTTTTAAACTGAATTATAACTAAATTATTATTATCAGATATATAGGAGTTTATAATACGGAATTTCAAATACGCTTTCCTCCTCGAAATTATGTCGTCATTTAAAATCTTATAATGGCAAGTTTAGAGGTCACAGGTGAAACTCATATTCACGGCTTGTTTTTTTTTTGTGACTTATTCAATAGAATATTTTATAGCAAAGAATTGCTTAATTAGAAGCTATCTAGTATAATGAGAAGAAGAGAATTTAGTTATGTTTTTAGCGGAATGCTCGTTATGATAACGGTTTATGGATGAATAATTTGCCGAAAAGTGCGGACGAAGTTTTGGGTCCTCAATGTCAAACTCCGCTCTTGTTGCAGTCATCGAATACAGGTTCACTGTTCATTGTTAATTGTAAAATATCATCAGATTCATTCTGCTTTTTATTTCCAAATTTCATAACTTATAGAATTGATCATTTATAAAATATTTTAAAGTATTCATTAATTAACTATTAAAGATGCGGAACTAAGTGGAAACTGTGTTAATGGATGGATGCCAGATATCATACCTTCAACAACATATATACAGCAGGAATCAATCCACGATGTACCACATCCAAAAATTTTAAGTCCACCAATGAAAATACTCCATCATGAAGCATATGGTAGTGCAGAAGGAATTGCTTTACTTTATCAGGATAACTGTCCAACTAGTGATATCGATCATATTTATGGTACCACTTCTGGCAAACATCATTATCCATCCTTTACTTTTACTCATTAATGCTATGTTGTACATGATATTATTACTGTTAGTCGGGTTATTATTGCTTTTTATCATGATATGCTCGAAACAAAATCATTGAAAGTTATGCACTAGATTAAGAAAAAGAATAATCAAACTTGTCTAATAAATTTATTTAACCAATCACTTTAGCAAGACTGATTTTTTTTTTCCAAGAATTTCTCTTTATTTTATTATTTATTAAATAAATAGTGATTTATTTGATTTGCTACTATTATGCAAAACATAAATATACAATGAAAGTTTGAATCATTTCTAATGTAGAAAAGATTTATGTAATTAACAGTAAGGAAATTTCAAATTATTACGACAAAACTTTAAGCTTATGTGAAATGTTTCTTTTTCCTTTTTTTGATTTTAAATAATTTGAATTTACTCTTTTAGCGATACTTGTAATTTCATGTGTATACACTTCCTTTTCCTTTCACATTTTAAGTATTTATTTTCCAAGTTTAATTTCTCTTCAACTATTTTTTGAATGATTTCGTTATGTTTTTATTTGAATAATGTTGTAAGAATTACTGCAGAATGCAATTTTAATTTGACAAGAATGCATAGATAATAAAATATGCAACATGTGACATACAACGTTATAACCATACCACAAAATGCCTGTATAGAAGGGTATTCCTCATCGAAATCATGTCAAATCATTAATTAATCTGGTGCAAGATCTAAAAGTCTAAATCACTTCAATTCATTCATTCATCTTGGGTTAAGGATCTGATAATGTTTATTATTCCATTTGTACAAATGTCGATTTCAAAAATTTTTGCAAAATATATTGCAATGATGAATGAATGCAATAAATATCTCATTGTTTACGAGTGTATGTGTATGTGTGTATGCATGCGTCTATATTTGTGTCATTAAGATTTAAAGTCATTCATCATGAAGCGACTGGAAGTGGTTTAAAAATAATTAAAAAAAGAATGGATATTTGTCGTGTCACTTTAAATAGACCAATAAAGTAGGAAGAAATGAAATAAATATTGAACCTTCCATTTTACATGCCAGTAGTACATTATGTCATTTGGTGTGCTTAAATCATTTTTTTGTTTTGAATGCAATTCATAGATACTTTAGTGATTATATGGATTGAATCTTATTTAAGGTTATTATATGGATTGAATCTTATTTAAGGTTACCTAGAATTCATCTTTTTCTATTGAAATCTATCAGAAATTATCTTTATTTAAATTATTTGTCACTTAATTCTTCCTTGCTTGAATGAAATATTAGCAATACCATACCAATCATTGTCCATATTTTCTCTCTTTTTAACTTTTGCAAAACCGTTTATTAGGACGAATTACGATTAAGAATTATTATTTTATAAACCAATGAAAAAGTAACCAAATTATGGACTATTCTTACTGAGATATTATTGTTGAAAATCCATTTAGAAGCTGAAGTTGATATTGAAGAGAAAAGTAAGTGATATAGAAAAGGAAATCTATAAAGTTAGATAATTAATTAAAATTTTTTAATAATAATGCGATTTTTTTCACAAATTTACTGATTTTATATCAAGCTTCAATAATAGTAAAACTATTTATTTCATGTAAACTTTGAAAATTTCAAATTGGTGTATTGAAAACAAAAATAAAGCTTAATGAAACGGTCTGTAGAAATTATCGTGTCATTCGATTTTTTCCAGATTCGAATTTCTTTGAGAAAATAAATCAATTTGAATTTAGCAGTAATTCCTAAACAGCAAATAATTAAACTCTACTGAGGTAAAAATAGTGAGAGTACTTCGAAGGATTCTATTCGTTTAAAAAAATGCAAACGCATAGTCGGATAATCTAGTTTTCATTTGAAATTGACATTCTCCAGTATTTTCGTTTTTCGAGAATAATGTAGACTTAATTTGCTTCATTTTCCACCGAAATGATGAACCTTAGATGAGAGATACAATTTATTGATTTGATATCATCGTGAATATCTTCAGAAATACAGTCAATATCTTAAAACTGTATCAATATATCAGAAATGAATTATATCGGATAACTCCATGTAAATTCATATGCGGCAACATGGCTATTTGGAAGTGATAAAGACCTTATCAGTATTTCTGAAATGTTTAATAGTGGCATAGAATAGTATGTCAAAATAGATTATGAAGTTATCTTTTACTCTAATATATCAAATTCCGCTTTATCCAGATTTTGTACTAAATGAGAAAAAAAGTTGATTACAGAAAAAAATTTTTTTTCAGGGTATTTCAAAAAGTATGACGAGAAGCATAATTTGGCTAATTCTATTGTTAAGTGGAATCATTTGTGAAGCGCAATATCACAACTGTTTCATGTCCGGTGGTTATTCCGGACGGTCAACATGGTGCGGCGAAAACTCGAAAGATGAAGAGAATTTGAAGGATCCAGTGGAAATAATGAAGCGTGCAAAGGAATTCCTCGAAAAGCAAAGTAAAATTATGTTTGATCCAATGACATGGACAATAAGTCCACCAACACCACCACCACCCATCAGTATAACACCGGTAGCTACAAAAGCAAATGCAGTACTTAATGTTCAACCTGATGTAACCGGAGCAAAATTACAATCATCATATATCCCGTTATATTCGGTAGCACTGCCTAACAATGCCAATTCATTCTTTACTCCTACTTCAGGTATTCCAACAAATGGTAACAATTTGCAGTTGTTACCATTTGTTGGAATAATCTCTCCGGAAAATTCGCACAGTCTTCAGAATATTCCTATTTCAACTAGCCAAGCAAACCAACCTGTCCGTTTTGAAAATTCGGAGCAAATAAGTGTACAACAACAGCAATTTCAGAATCAAGCAAATCACTTGCTAAATAAAGCAAATGAAATGCCCCTTTTGTTGAAAATACCACCAGCAACTTCACCACCAAAATTTTTCGCTGAAGAGCAGAATCTAAAATTGAAAGAAAATAATGACTTAACAGATATAGGTAGCATAAAGCCAGTCAGGTTAGTCTTAAATCGGCCATTAGCAGCACTCTCATCCCGAAAAGACAATCAATCAGTGAATGCTTAACTCTTTCCATTCATTCAAAAATCTTAAAATCAGTTTTACTCGCTCAATCACTCTTCACTTCAAACAACAACCAACATACCTACCATCACATAGCACCTGATGGAAACTTACTGCTAATTCCTTTGTGGCTTACTATTTATTAGTTTAGCATTGCTACATGCTATATTTGTAATGTAAACCTATTTCAGTTAGCCTTCTGCCTTTTATGTAACAAATTCCTATACATTCTCGTAAAATAAAATATTCCTCCCACTACAAGAAGTGAAATTTTGTGATTTCTTGTATTATAAAATTAACATAAACAAATGCACACCACACGGTCCAAAAATAAATGACGTATCGCCACCTCTATGCAACAGCGACTTTACAAGCCCTATCTCCCTCTAATGATATATATACACTTCTTTTATTTTTCCTTTTGTTCAGTGGACAGTCCAAGTTTCTGACATTATTTATGCTAACTGGGAAAATATAAGTATTTTGATGACATTCCTTGAAGTTCATCTATTTTTGAATATATCTTTATTTCAAAACAAAAAAAAAACAAACACTTCAAACAGTATATGGTACAGCAGCTCTCTGTGATAATGCTATGAAGTAACAAATCTTGAATAAATCTATCAAGGAAATACATTTGACCACCTAAGATCGGTGTTGGAATGAATCAATTATATTTGATGATATTGATAAAAAGGGAAATCAAACAGTTCCATTCGACAAGTTTTTTTTTTTTTTTTTAATTCACAGTAAGACAACAATATGTCGTATTAAATTTTAACAACAACAGAGAGAAGACAAATTCAATTTCTTGTTTTCTAGTTAAGTAGAAACGCATACCCTATTTTTCAGAAACTAAATCAAAAAAAAAAAAATTAAAAATTTCAGCTTTTTTTTTTTATTTAGCAAACCGCAATATAATATTTTTGGGATAAAAGAAAACAAAACGAAACAGAAAAAACTATTTTCACAGATCAGAAAGTAAATGAAAAAATTATTAATCTTGATTGAGTGATGACAATATTGAGGTTCGTATTATTCGCTAGTTGGAAGCTTTGTTCGATCAACATCAGCGAAGTATGAATCGATCAGGAGCTGTTTTGCAGAAATTCGTTTCTCCGGCTCGTAAGTAAGCATTTTCTGCAAAAATATGCCGAAATGAAATGAAATAAAGAGTGCCCTAGAATCGCAGTGATAGAATAAGGTTAAAAAAGTTTCGTTTGATTTAAAATTTTTAGTCGAAAGATTCTCAACCTGCACGATCATAATGCCACTAATATCCATAAAGTGATCAAGAATTTCATGAAGATGGTTATTCTTCCACTTAGGGAATGTTTCTGAACAATTGGGCACATTTGTAAGAACACGCAATGTTTCATCACATGGAGTCGATAGCACACTGAAAGTGCAATTATAAAAAACCGTGCGATAAATGCAAAGAAAAAGAACATAATTAATAGACATGAAGTAAACCTGAAAATGCGAAAAATCTGATCAATGTTTGAATCACCCGGAGCAAACAGTGCTTTCTTCAGAGCCATTTCAGCAGCAATGCAGCCAATGCTCCACATGTCTACTGCCGAAGTATAACAAGTAGAACCAAATAGTAATTCCGGAGCCTTATAATACTGAGTATGAGCCTGCAAACAATATTCAAACATTTAATTTTGTGCGTAAGCACGAGTTTCCAGCTCTATTTTTGGAAACAAGAAAATGAAAAAAAAAAAAACCTTCTGCGTATAGCATATCTCTGGCGTGTTAACTGCTTCATAAAAATGGAATTCAGAAAGCTTAAGAAAACCCTTATCGTCAACAAGTAAATTCTCAGGTTTTAAATCACGATGAAGAATATTTCTTTGATGACAGTAGGAAACAGCTTGCAGAATCTGGTACAAATACGACTTCTGCTGCAATTAAACTTACAATTTCTCATGAGTTGGAGTTCCAACACTAAATAAATAAATTAAAATGAATTTCAATCACATATAAATATTTTTCTCTTGCATTTGAAAGAGTTAACAAGCTGCATTTTCACGGAGACGACGAAAGAACCAATAGGGGAAGAATCGTACTGACCTTGGCTTTATCCATCAATTTATTATTGGGAATTTTGCTGATGTAAGTCTTCAGATTCATGCTGATAAATTCAAATATCAGGTACAGTTGACTGTTGCTTATTATTGCGTCTTCAAGGCTATAATTACTTCGTGAACAATTACCGTGAAGTGAAGTAATTAGAGCTATAATGATATATCTGCACTAGTAAGCCGCACATATTCATCAAATCTCAGATTGAAGTCGAGAACTTCTCACTTTAAATATTTGATGGACAAAAATATCTAGCGCTGCAATTTTTAACTGCAGTTTCGGAATTTGTGTAACCAAAAATAATGTGCAAGAATAGATTTTTAAGTAAAATCCAAATTCTTTGGCTGCGTATATGGTGACACATGAGCCTCCTAAAATCTTTGCTACCGAGTTTCGTTTCCAACACTTGTTCATTAATTCCATCTGATATTATTCGACCAAAATTCAAAATTTATTTTTTGTTAAAAAGAACAAATGTCTTGCGCAAAACTACGATATGCAGCCGCTACTAATTTTATGGTACTACAAGACTCTTCTTGGAATTTCTCAAATGTTATTAGTCAGTACACTGCAACTAAAAAAAGGGCTTTTTTTTTTTAAAAAAAAAAACATACGAAATAATGTTTGGATGCCGCAGTAATTTAAGTAGCGTGATTTCCTGTACTAATGTAGCTGGTACACCGTTCTCAAATGCTGAATTCATGTAAATTTTTTTGATTAATACCATATTTCCTGCACGTTCATCGACAGTTTTGTAGACGCTACCATACACTCCTAAACATGTTTAGGAATAAAGAAACTATTTTCAAAAATTTGGATCACTATAGCTTTCAAAATTTTAATTTTTTAAGTTTAAAAATTACAAACTCCTTTAATGTCAGAAACTAAACTTCAATATACCTTCACCAATCTTGCTAACTCCAATGTAACAAGCCTTCGAAACATTCGGTGGAATAGCAGTCATATCTAAAAACTAAAATCAGCAACAGAAGCAATTAAAATTTTTTCAAGCAAAATGAAGCAACATAAATTAGTCCCTAAGCGTATCTTTTTCAGATTCAGAATTTATTATACGTTTGTTAAAAGCTTATCCAATAATCTTTTATTTGCAATGCTATGCAGAAAAGATTAACCTAAAGAAGCCAGTTTAACAAATTAAGCAAAACTTTAATATCTAAGCAGTCTAAATGATACAAATTCAAGATTAAGATAACTGCTCTTGTATATCCTCCCTAACTTATGCAATATTACAAATGCTAAACAAACGAAATTAAAGAAACATTACTTTTACAAATAAGTCGGATAAATGTTCATCGATAAAAACCTATCCCAAAGATCAAATTAGAAATGCCTATCAATTCATTCTTCTAACTGCTTCATTTCGTCATGCCTGTGATTGAACTTAATGTTTCAAGATTTTCAACAATGCTCTAACTACCACGTCAGTCCATTATATGAATGGTCCAGTCCTCAATGTATCTATTCTCTTCAACAATGACCATGATACGATATCTAGGATAATCTCAATTATCCAATACTTCCATCAAATCTACTTTAGAACGATTATCCAAGCCTGACACTAAAGCTATCACTTCTGAGCTTTTGCATCATGTGAAGAACCAGTACACAACCAATCGATACCAGCTTAACCTTAAAAACGAGTCGCAAGCATGGCTGACTATTACTATGATACAATTGCTTATCAATGCATGACCGTTTTACTAAAGAAGAAAAAAGTGAAAGGATTTCCAACTCTGAAATACTTTACAAGAAAGTATATTAATGCTTCCTCATTATAGTTCATCTCATCTAAATTACTATTTATCGTGCAAATATACTTAAAACCCTAATTTTAGGTTTACTAGTTTATCACAACTACAAACCAATTCTTCAGCTTGTTGTAAAATATCAAATCAGTCGTCAATATCAAGTCAACAATTCATTTTATATGATACCATTCATGTCATGTCATGCACCAGCATTTTCAGATCGATAAGTGATAATTAATTTAAAAAAAAAAAAAAGAAAATTCCCTACTGATGTAACTTTGCTTTATTTAATGATTTAATAAAACTATCGAAAATAAAATATGCACTGTATGAAGAGAGATGAGGTAATATGTGTGACACCTAAAAGACAACAACCAAAGAGGTACCACACCTTTCCTGGCAAACAATCTACCAGAGGGACATTAGCTAAGCAATGACAGCAATAAACAAATCTAGCATTCAGCAGCATTACATATTGTGCAACTGACTGATTGTAAGGGTATTTTAGCCTCGGCTACAGTATGACTGACATTCCTCATAGAGAGGGTCGCCTTGTACCGTATACAGACACATTCTGAATGGATGCCAGATGGAGAGAGAGACGGAGAAAGGATGAGAGACAGAGGAGAGCAGACGGGAAAAGAGAGGAAGAGGCAAAAAAGCTACGTACGTGACATTTGATAAAAATGGAACAATTACTCAGTTCAAATTATAATGGCGGGAAAAGAGGTACAACGGATGATGAAATATGGCTGAAGAGAGACAGACTATTTCTCACATCTGTCTTAGCAAGGTTAGATGAGGGGTGATACGTCCGTGTCTTTGTTCTCCTGTTGCTACGTGTAGATTGCTCGTTGGAATTAATGCGATAGGACATTGTAATTGTGTCCTCGTCGTCGTGTCGTCGACGTTGAATAGGCGTAGACGTGAAAATGCGACCACACCTTTAATTGTTGGTGAAGTAAAGGCACTAGGACGATTACGTAAATGCTTAATGATTATGAGTTATGGAGAAAGTATAAATATGAGTGAATTTAGAATGTTATCATTTACAGTGTTTTGAATTTATTGGAAGCAGTTCCGATTTGCAATTCGGCATGCTGCGAATACGACTACGTGTAGGAGGGGTGTGTTTTTATTATTTTTTTTAAATTTCGAAAAGTGAAAAGTGAAATTTGGTGATGGCTGGAGTAAAATCTTGGATGAAGTCGGGAATGAAGTTGCTCATAGAATTTAGCACAAAGTTGCAAACAAACAAAAACTGAAGCACAATCCTTCGTGAAATCATTTGGACAAGAACTTGAACAGTGGAGAATTATGGAAGAGTATTAGATAAAACTGGGACATATATTATAAATATTTTATATATTTTGGACATAATTTCGGATAAAATCTCAGAAAAAACGTTGGACAACCTGACAGAGCTTCCTCCTCCAAATTTACCTATCTAATAAGTTGAAATTTTCATCCACTGATTTATACCTTTATTAGGCTCACTAGTTTCTTGTTTACTGACTTTCCATAAAATCAATGATATCGGTTAGGTGACAGCTTTCTCTGTTCATAATGGTTTGAAGAAATCCTTTAAAAAATTCTATGAATCTAAAAGACTGAGATACCTCTCTCAATCGATATAATAAATGAATTTATCAGAACAATAATATCATTCAACATAGCAAGGTTTTGTTCTGAATTCGGCACTTCCAGAAGAGCCTAATTGTGTCCACCATCAATCTATTTTATTCATCTTTTGATTCTCTTATCCAATCTTCGTCAACTAACAGATTTTTCTTGGCTTGCATAGGGCATGCGTTCCAGAAATGGATATGAGGATAAATTGGCAATCCAAATCTTCATTAATGGATTAAATCCAAAGCTTCAAATACTGTTTTAGTGTCGTTTTAGACTTCCGATATGTCCTTCAGCCAAGAAAAAGTAATCTAAATGTTAGCTGCAGCATTACACAGTCCAGCTGAAAACGTTGGTTATATGAAATAGATTTTAACTATCAGATTCGTAGGTTTTTCCGAAAATTGCCCGCTGATAGGAGGATCTAGTCCAAAGAATGCTAAACTAATTCATTCCCCTGCTTAGTTAGCATATCCATTTATGAGCAGTTTTGACGCAATCTACATAGTACCATAAATCAACATTACAGTTAGTTACTCTGTGGTACCTAGCAGTACTTGGGAAGTGTCATTATCCATCTATCCATTCCATACTTAAGCTTCAGATATTGCAAGAAATGTAATGGTTTGATTCCTTAACACTCACATTCTTCATTCTTCCATCCATTTCTTTGAAAGCAATTCTAAATCTGGTATTCTGCGTTTTCCCTTGGCTTTTCATATGAACAGCTATAACTGCAAGCGATTTACTGCTCACGTATGTTAGCTGGTTGCTGGGCCGAACCGTATATTACTTTGTCTGGCAACTTGAAAACCAGTTGAAGGATTGAAAACTAAAAAGCATATAGCCGGAAATATCTACTGCTTCGTAATTCTTATCATCTTATTTTATCATATTCTCTGTTCATATTTGTTTCTCATCATCCCAGGATACTTTGCGGCTCTTATTTTCTTTCAAGTGTTATTCAATCATATTCCGTTGTTTCTATGATTTTTCTGCCACCAAAACGATGAGCTGATGGAGTAACATAAATTCCACGTATGTATTAATAATCTGTGAATGACATGTCTGGAAGAAGAAACTGCTGATTTGGGACTTTCTATATTCCTATATTTTGATGACTGTAATTCGTTAAAGTTGAATTATTGATTGATCATAGGCTCGAACAATGGCTGCTGTTGGTAAGCGTCATGCTGAACATCTAACAACGTACGTTTTTTGGATTTTTTCCCTTACTCTTGTAGGAATTTGCTGTTCAGAAATTGAGAAGACTATATAGACTTAGTTTTCTGAAATTTTCGTAGTCCTAGCATGAAATTTATTTAATGAACGCCAGTGTCCAGAGTTTTCACTGACGGTTGCCGAAAACCGTCGCTTATTTTCATTATTTTCCAGGAATTCTGAGGAAAATGATGCATCGCCAGGAGGAGGAGCAAGTGATAAATTGAGTAAGCCATAGCTTTTATATGGTGCTTCTAGTTGGTGTTCTACCTAGTCGTATCAAAGTGACTAAATTTACATAATGTTGGTATAGTTCATCTCTTAGTAATGACATATGTCCTCTTTATGTTCAGCATTGCTAGAGGTCTCATGAAAACGAATTTCCATATCGAAATAATGTTCTCCCTTTCATAAGCCAGTTTTCATGTTCTTAGACCTTGTCAAGTTCAGCCGAGTTAAATAGCGTGTTGACCTTAGAAGATTATCAGTTTTCAGTTCAAAAATTTTAGGTATACAATCAGATGCGGCCTTACCGCGCAAGCGACCAAGAACTTCTGCAAAGCATGCTGTAATCGATTCGTCTAATGTTGAAACGGGTTGCGGAGATGATGGTGCAACTCAATTCATAGGCAGTCAAGGCGACATATACGAGGAAGTCATTACAGAACGTGTTATAGTGCCACAGAGTTAGCTTTTTTTTTCTATCCGCTTAGCATTGCCTCTTTATGTTATTTTAGTTTTAATCTTCTAGAATTGCAATAACAACAACAAAATGCTTGTGGACAAGATAGCTGATGAAGTTGGGATGGGTGGAAGAAGTTGAAGTCAACGTAGAAGTTGTCATTCAGTTAGTGCAGAATTTATTGATGAGCTTGTTTATAAGCTAATTTACTGATAAGCTTGTTTAGGATCGTGTCGTGGTGATCAGGATTTGAAAGAAAAAACTCCTATGAGAAACATTTCAAGTGAACATTTAACCAGTCCTGGAGATAACTTGTTTTCTTTTATTTTTATTTTCTACTTGTATATTGTTTTTCTGTTTTCTTGAACAAATTGCTTTCAGAAATTGGGAATTTTTGCACATGTATCATTGTTGTATTTCAGATGAAAATACGAAGAGCGAAACTGTAACATCTGATCGCTATAACGAACCGAAGAAATATAAATATTTCCGAAAATTGGTGGAAACATCCTGTGACCTGGCGAACTGGCGTTTGCAGGTGTTGGGGAATGCTTCGTGCATACTTGTAGCAAATAATTTTCTGATGGAATCCTAGTCCTGAAGCAAAAGGATATTATGTCATTTTCTACTATATTATTCTTAGAAAGGATTTGTGTATTGGGATAACTGGGATAACAGCGGACTTTAAATTTTGTTGACCTACATAAAAATTTTTGGAATCGAAAAAAAAAATTTTCCAAAAAAAAATATGACAATTAATAAGCATCTTTTAGGAAAGACCGTGTGTAAATTCGTTGTATGACCCTTGCATAATTTGTGCTGCTGCGCCGAATAAAAAGAAAGCCATGGATTGTCGTTTCTACAACCGCATGTTGTAGGTTTCTTATGTCGATTTATAAAATACATAGGTCCTCTATATATGAAATATATATGGCTCTTTTCTTCCTTATTAGTTACTTAGTTACTATTGCATCTTGCATACAGAATTTGAATGAAGAAAGATACTACACACTAATTATTTAATATTGAAAAACTTTCTGCATGTAAATATTCCTTTTAAAATAGCGAAACTTTTTAACATTATTTTTAGACGCAATCGTGATGACCCCAAATTATGTCGCCACCTTGTGATTAACGATATCGAGAAAATCAAGTCATTATTTTTGCTGGAAATGGACGTTCCAACAGAGCAATTTATCGATAAAACTGGTTTGATTATTTTATGTTGTAACTCTCCAAAATACAGACGAGATGTAAGCCTTTTCGGCAGTATATGATTTCATTGTTTTTTGGTTTTTTTATTCTTGTGGATTAATGAAAGGAAGAAGGAAAATTTCTGTAGGCAAGCCAAAGGAAAAGGCAGAAGCGTCTCAAATGGCTGCGTACGTTCTACAGTGCGTATATTCAAGTTACGAGAAAGTGGTAATTCGTGAACAAGAAGCCATATCGGACTTTCGTGGTAAGTTTACTTTTTTTTTTTTTTAATGTTTTTTATAATTGAGTTGAAGCATAATGAATAATGATTCTCATCTACAGGACTGATTTTCAAAATAACACATGTAGAATTTAGTTATCACATTTCACATATTTTGTCATAATTCGAACTTATTTAAAAGGGATGGAAGTACTGTTGGTCATGAATCTAATGAATTTCGTTTATGCATTTATGGGTTTTTGAGGTAGAACATGAGAGATTTTAGCAAATTATTTTAGCTGCATACCGAATTTAAATGAGAAAAAAAAGTAGGACTCAGGTTCTTTATTTGATTTTGAAAAGCTTTTTGTATACAAAATATACTTTTTGGGAAGGCTTGAAAATGTCAGCATGGCACAGGATGTCTCTTGAAGCTTTTGAGAATAGGCACCACAGTGCTTCGGCATTACTAGGTCTCAAATAATGGTTGCTACTATGAAATCTGCAGATTACATTTCACTGATAGTGTTGAGCTATTTTTTCATTATGATATTTCATTGTAGAGGAAGATGCATTCTACAATCATACGTTTGGTGAGAAGCAAATATGTGACGCGTGTCGTTTTGCTATCCTAAATGCTCATTTTTGCTGTGAAATTTGTGGGTCAGAATTGTGCACAGCGTGTTATAAAAAACTGGACGGAAAAGGTATGACCAGTATTATTTATTGTGTTTTGTTCTATTTCTTATAAGAATTTGGCGCAACAGAGTTGCAACTTTTCATAGTAAGGGAAGCTCATACAGATTTTTTCTAAACGCGTGGTGAGACATTCTCTAAACTTATATATGCATGTCTAATTATTTGTCTTTTTGGTACGTTTCTTTAAGCAAAGTTTAATAAGTCAAGTTTACTAAAATCCGTTTATTGTTAATGTGATTGCCAATATTATAGTGTTAGACTAATTGATTTTTGCAAAGTTTTCGGCGTCAAGCATGAACTTAATATGAGTTGTTAAATCGTAGACTGTGTGTTGTGGTTTTGTGTAATGGTTTTGCTGTCATATCATTTTAATTTGACGATTTAGCTGATCTGGCTCAGCACTGGTAGTACTGAAATATTCAATATATATGATATGAAAAAAAAAAAAAGTGAAAGATATATTAATCAGTAAAAAGTGAGTTAACAAATGATAAACATAGAGAAAATAGGTTAATGCAAGGAATGTGATGCAAATATTTCAAATATTGCGTGCTGAAAAACTGAGGCAGCTCAACCCTAAATTCAGTTGCTTCATGTTGAGAGGTTGCATGCAATTTTTGCGAGAGCGATTAACAGATCGGTTAAAAGTAGATTGTACGACTTTCTCTTTCTGGCACTAATGATTGGCAATACGACACTGAATTCTTTGTGTGTGTCATTCTATTCAATTTTTCAAGCTCGCTATTTAATTTGTCGAACATCTCCCCGGCGAGAAGAAAAATTCGTTTTGATATAGATAGATTGTTGGGACTTAATTTTAGCGAAGAATTACACAAGATATATGCGAAGAATTTGCTACTCATAGTTTTTAGCGCAACAAAATAGCCTACCTAATCTTATTGTACAGCGGATATCGAGATGTTACCTGTTACACATTTGTTATCCATGTTTTCTATGTATTATGCAGAGAAATACGACAGTAAGCGGAAGAAACACGAATCTCTAATAAAAAGCATTTAAGGAAAACCTGCTTAAGTCCGCATCGTTGATTATCGAACGAGTGGCGAATTTTATGAATGAGTTAAAAAAAACTTTAAATGACTTCTTGAAAGATAAATTTGAGATTTCCATGGGCACTTCTTGAAATCTATATTGTTAATTTTGTCAAGCGATCGAAATTTGATAAATTCTAGAAGCGTAAATGCTTATTGGGAATGATAAGAAAAATAAGGAGAAGTCAGCTCATCACGGATCAAAGCTTGAATAAGTTTAAATGGAAATACAAGCAGTTAATAAGGCAAAAGGAAGACTTCCCGATATGCCTGAGACAAATATTACCAAAAGATGCAAGAAAGGGATGATAACTTTAAGAAAATTACATAGTGCCCGAGGAATTATTCTGCATCCTCATTCGTGAAATGCAGATGGTTTTGAGTTTCATAAGAACTAAAGGAAAAAGCTATATAGGTCATCGGAAATAGAGAAAGATGGATTAGTGCAGTTGATTGGTATATGAAGAGGAATGTAAATAAGGATTTTTAATTGGTAGGGAGTTTCAGATACATTCACAATTTAATAAACTCAGTCTTTTTTTTTCGTCCTTTCTCTGCCTTTTCATTCTCCACTGGATTTCATTTCGTCATTCTCGAGCTTATTAGCTGACTTTAAATTTGAAAACATATTAAAGGAAGGTGTTTTCAGATTCTTACCCTCCGATTTGGTTAGAGTCACTTCCTTGTACAAATGGTCGCGTTCACAGTTCTTCTATGTTTCACTTGGGATCTTTTTTGCCTTCATTTGGTATCATTTTTTTTTTTCTCGTCACTTCTCCAATAATTTCAGATAGAAATCTGATTAATAAAAATATGCGAAATTGATGGTAATTCAGCCAAATTTTTTAGCGGATATTTTGCAACAAATCTTTTTTTAAGTCTTTGCTTTATGTTTATAATTTACATATATTTTAAGACATTTTTCGTGATACACTTTACCAGTCGATGAAACAAATCGTACGATATGGTGTCAAGAGGGGTGGTGCTTTATGCAACGGTAATCACGGACGAGGCTGTAATGTGAAATTATTTCAGGAGGTTAGTGAGGAGCTCTTATTTTTGTGCAAATATTTTATTATTTGATTTGTTCCTTATGTATTTCGTACATTGCAAAAGATCATTATTACTGCTGTTTATGTCTTTGATTTCTCAAATATAAAAGTACCTACTAACTTGCCATATGGTTTTTGGTTTCCTTTTCTCTTCAAATCAGATTTCTTTATTAAGCTTGTATTGGACAGATTTTTTTCAAATTTACATTTTTATAGTGGTAAGTTATTTCAGCTGTGGTGACTTGTGCAAGTATTAGTTATAAATATTTATTCCGGTATTATTTCAGGAAAAATGCTATTGCCCTTGCTTTTCCCCTCTCTCAAAATTTCCGATCGAGAAAGTTTGTGTTATCGAAGATCAGGCAAGGGCTTTCCAGCATTTTTGCTATTATTTCTCTTCCATACACCTGAAGTTTTTTTTTTTTTTTTTCAAATCAATGTTACACTGTTTTTTTTTACTGAAGTATATGTTGGATTTATGGATTTCTTTCATGCATGTAATTGTAGTTTTCGTCGGATGCTTACGCCCGTTTTAAAGCTCATTTAGCTGCACACAATCCCATTGTAGTCGAAAACGTAAATCGTCATCCCCGTTACCGTCGGTCATTGTGGACACAGGCAGCCTTCGAAAAAATTTTGGCTTGTTAGTTTTGCTTTCTTATCTAGGAATTTCTTTAAACTTTCTATTATTGAAACATTTATATCATACATTTTGTCCCCAAATTTTAGAAAGCTTCATGCCAAATGTTTTGGGTGAATCATGGTCCAGAAATTAGAAATGCAATGTTTAGGAAAAATTGTCCTTTCCCACATTTATTGGAATTCATTCATTGAGTTCCAAAATTCATTTTACTGCATGTCTTTCAAAAGGTTTGTAGGTGATCGGAATTTACGTGTTCTGGATAGTCGGAACTTTTCAACTGTGATGATTCGTGATAAACCGTGCTCACTGAGAATGTTCTGGTCGAAATTTGGATTAAAACGGGGCAATGATGACTGTTACATGAAGGTGAGACGACTGTTAAGAGTTTAGTATTTAAACTACCAAAGAAACTTTCAAACTTAGTGATGGTCCTCAGTTTTTATATCATGTTATTTGATTCATCTTTCTGGAATGTGCATTCTTGCTATTTTAAACAGTTTTTTTTTTTTTTTTTCAGATAAAAGACTTTCCGGAGTCGAAATTATTTTCTAGTATTGCTCCTGAACAGTATGTAAATTTGTATGAAATCATGCCTTTTCTGGATTACACACATATTGATCGCAAGGAAAGTGGCCGTGGCAGATTGAATTTGTTGAATTTATTCAACAATAGATGTGAGCAACTAGATCCAGGACCAAAAGTTTATGTTTGCTTCGGTAAGCTTTAACCCTCTTTGAAGCATGTTTTTCTTGTATGCGTTATAAATTTCCAGATATTTGCGATCTTCTTCATCATTACCAAAGTGGTACTTTAATCTCCTTATCAAAAATTATATGGCTTTTAGGATTATATAACGCTCCACATTTGGCTTCCACTCCATTGCATCTTGATGTATCTGATGCAGTAAATTTTTTGCCGTTTGTTAAAGCGCCGGATGAAATGTCAAGAGAAGAAGTGAGAGATGGCAAGTTTTTTGTTTTTTGAATACTGATAAGTTAGTTAGCATTACTGATCATTTGCAACTTCCTATTGATATCAATTTTCATAATATAAAATAATCTGAAAGTTAGATTATTTTAGCTGTTGAGCGACGGTTAGATGTAGAGGGTATCCGTGGATTTCACAAGGAGCGTGCTCTTCGTGAACCGGAAAAAGCTGGTGCTATTTGGAAAATATTTCATCCCAGTGATAATGCGAAAATCCGTGCTGCCATTATGGAATGGAAAGAAGTGAAAGTGCGGTTACATCGATTTAAATTTGAATACAGTCCAAGGTGAAATTCACATGCTGATAGAAAAATGTCACGTAAATTCTGTTTAGGGGGAAGAATGGAGTGGTGATGTTATTCACAACCAAGACGTTGTGGTGACACGTGAAATGATGGATTTTTTCGAAGAAAGAGGTTTGTTTCAATTTTTAGTCATCAGTTTTGTAATTCTATTTTTTGAATCTATTTAAAATAAGACACGCTTTTTGTTTAATCCATGTCTATTAACGGTATCGAAACTTTGCTGCAGGGATTGAATGCCGTATGTTTGTGCAGAATGAAGGCGACGTTGTATTTATACCATCCGGAGCAGCCCATCAAGTTCAGAATATCAATTCATGCGTTAAAGTAGGTTTTTGAGTTATTGTCTTGTTTTTGGTGATGTCACGCTAGATTTAAATCAAAAAAAAAAAATGTTGAAAATAATGATTTTTAAAGATTGCTGAGGACTTTGTTGCTGCAGAAGGCATTGCTTATACAGTAGCAGTTACTAATGAGTTGCGATTTTTGCGAACTAAAGATGATCTTGTGCAGGTAGATGACTTTGTTTTTTCATTTATTCCTTTATTTGTCTGAACATTTACGAGAACAATTTTTTAAGATTTTCGCAGCAAACTCATTAGGGAAAAACCCGCACACCTCATTATCTTCAAATAGACCAGTTTATAAAAATTCGAAGAATATCAGGTGGACAAACTGTTGCACTTCGCATGTGCTGCGGCAGCGGCTGTATTGCAAAACAGCGAACCTGGATTAGTAACATCGAGTCTTCCTCAGTAATGAAATGTGACTTGCAAGCGACTCATGTGATCTCCGCAAGGATTATTTTTTAGAACTTCACGAAAATTGTAGTGTAATACAGTTTTATTTGTATTTAATGAAAGACAATGAATCTTGTGCCATAATTAAATTTTATATTAACAAGCTCTTACAGTGTGTTTGAGAAAAAGCCTTTATGAAGAGCAATAAAACTAGGCGAACAATAAAGCTAGCATTTCCAAGACAACGAAACTGAAAAACCGTTTCTTGCAAACAACTTTGGCTCCCTCACATCTACCTCCATCTATTTGGTGTTACCGAAGCAAGATTTCGGAGGCATATTCCACATATTCTAAGACAGCACAGCACGTAACATCTATGAAATATTCCAAAATCTGAAATCTGTAGTGGAGAGGAATGTGTTCTCCATGCTGTGAAGATGCCAGAGATTTCTTGTGTTCGTATGTAGAGTGGCATAGTTTTGTCACTGAAGAATATGGATTCAAAGTTTAATTTACATCTGGATAGTCTGGAAGCAGCAGTGAAGATTTGGAAAAGGTAGAGAGAGTATTCTATGGGTGATTTCTTGCTAACGATACAGATGTAGGTGAGTTCACTGTTCTAGGTGCTAAATTCTCTCTTGGACACTCCTAAATTTGAATCGCCGGCTTGTAAAAATAAAGCAAATTGTATTTTCGATAGCCTAATTTCTTGAGTAATGTATGTTGTAATTCTGAACGTTTTGATCCTTGCTTGCCTCGTTATGATTCAGGGGACTTTATTTCATGTAATTAAACATAGCTGAGATTTAGGAGATCAGCAATAGCAAAAACGTCTGATCTTGCAATTTGCAACTGATTTCGAAAAATCTATACTGAATAGTTGCCGACACTTAGCATATCAGCTGCTCTAAAATGCATAAGACAGAAAAAATGCATAGTTTCTAATCCCTTATCATTTGGCAGTGTAGCACAGACTTCCAATTTACATGTTCAGAAGAAATTTCAAACCAGGAATGCATATCAGCAACTGATTTCAAACTACACATCAAATCATTCTTTTCGGCCTTTCATCATTTCTCGCAAAATCTATACCGCTTCTCATAGAAACTATCATAAACTCTATTATAGAAAATTCTTTTACCCATTTTTTATCTTATTTTGCCAACAAATTCTCAATCTTTATTACAAAAGTTCCTTTACTTCCATGCATCCTTGATTACATCATTCATTTTTCGTCTGGGATAATTCATTAGAAATCAGACGATCATTAAGAATGACGAACTTGAACTCAGATCGTTTTGAATTTGCAATATTTATAAACGTAATAAATAAATACAGAAATCATCTGCATAAATAAAAACAATAGTTATCGCATAAATAATTCAGTGCAGTCCTATCTGACAATCGCTTGACTGTTAAATGTTAAATCAACAGACGATGGATTTTCATTAACGGTCACTCGAAATTGAGCAAAAAGGAGTGGATAGATGTTTAAAAAACAAATGAAATGATGCAAATAAACGTAACAGTATGTACATACCGCAAAAATTAATTTTAGTACCAATAAAGAAAGTAATCATATAGCTTTGCAGAATCATTCCATTATATTTAGTAGGTACTCTGCTGATTTCTCTCCCTATCCTAAATGTACAAAAAAAACATAAATTATATAAATTAACATATAATGAATTAAAAAGTGAAAAAGCTGCCGTAAGGAACTGTGACACTGTAAAACGTAAAAACTGTCACTGTACTGAAAAGACTGCAAAGCAAATGATTCAAATATAACTCCTAAAAAGAAACAGTAATATGTCACTTAATAACTGGTACTAATTAAACTGACGGTTTGATATAATTTATCACATCATAAATCAATTTTAGTTGACGCAACTATTTTCATAAAAGCAGTAGTAAAATCGGATGAAGTGTGATTGCCATTATAATCATGCTGAACACCGTTAACAAATATACGAAATGTTGGATAGCTTTTCACGCCGTACCTCTCACAAAGATCTGAAATTTGACAAATTTCCACCGAGCATTTCATGCTTGAACCCACCCTCATCATCTATCTAATCTAGAAATTACTAAACGTAACCATAAAGTTTCGAAGCATTCTTTTTTAAATGTATTACCCACACCAATTTGTGTTTTCACTGATTTATTTAAGATGTATTATAAATATATTTCGTGACAGATTCTTGTATTAACTTAAATAGAAAAGCCCAGAAATTACTTATTACGAAATTTCAACTCTATATCATCGGGAAATGCAAATAAAGAAAAAATGGCACCATTCCAAGCAGTACAATCGACCACGGCGAATTTGCCAAAGTGAGACTGTTTCGCAGCTTCGCGGAATTCCGGTTTTACTGCTTTACAATGTCTGCACCCTAAACAAACAAGAAAAAATGATCTGTACTTGTACAGCATAGAATTTTTGGCAAAAATATTTAAATATTAAAGAAATTATTCTTTACCTCTTCACTAATCTCCCCGATTTCTGCCGCAAGATTTCACTTTGTTCATTATAATACTATTATTAGTAATTAATATTAAAACAAACTTACATGGCGAAAAGAACAACACAAAAACATTTCCACTGCTAATAATCTTATCGAAATTGTTCTTATCGAGCACTATCACTACATTTCCAAAGTCAAATTCAGGAACAGAATTCCGCGATCGGAAAAAGAAATAACGATATCTTGCTAGACAAAACAACACAATAGAAAAAAAGTATTTTTAGGGTCGCAGGGATAAAATAAGGAGAAAATAAAAGCTCACGGTCATAAAATATTACTGGCAAAAACATTTTTTCGATTTCGTGCAACGAACAAACAAACAAGTAAAACTATCACTGACATATTTTAGTATAAGACAGAAATCATCACTTCGTCCTACAATTTCGCTGTTCATGAAAAAAAAAGGAACAATAAAGCCCTAGCAAGATAACATCTTCACGGATTCAACAGTACAACAGGAACAATAGTTGAAATCATTTTAAATTTATTGTACAAATCTCTGATAAAGCAAGAAGCTCACTTCAAAATTTGCCCACCACTTTCAACAAAATTAATGAATGATGCAGTTTCATATTCGCCAGAATAATCGATACGATTTTTACCATAGGACAGATAAATGATTGTTGGAAATTCCTGAAAATATACTATTTTAAAAAGATCAGTGATGGATTAAAGATTCAGCAAATCAGCAATTCTTTAATTTCATAATTCCATTTCCGACAAAGTTTTAATCTGACGCCATTTTTCCCACTTATTCGATAAGGTGGATTATGACACAGTTAACAAAAATTTTTTGGATTACTGTAACACATGATGATTCCTATAGAATACTCCTACTCCGCTCACAACAGCACTTTCTACTTTTATAAAGCAAGCTCCTAAGCCATCAACTGGAAGTCAAAAAATAAACTGAACCAAAAAAGTGACGGTTAGAATTTATCGAAACATATACATCTGTCAAAGTTCCAGAAACCAGTAATTTCTCACCTCTACTTTATATTCTTGACACAAAGACCTCTCAGTTGTACAATCAACAGCACCCAAAACGATCCTTGTATCATCAGCAAGTATTTTAGAAGCTTCAAAAAATTTAGGCTTTGCTCTTTTGCAGTAACCACACCCTTAAAAAATGATCTGTTTAAATCTATTTCCCTACCATCAGCACAATGGATGTTAAAACAAGAAGCGTGATCGTTCATCGCTTTTTCTAAAACGAACAACTATGTCAACAAAAAAACCACATAACTTTCTCAAACTATCAGCACGTGATTGCTCTAAACAACCGAATGAATTACCTAAGGCAGGCAAGCTTAACAGTATAAAAACGGAAGCAAAGAATCTTCAGATTCTTGGAACTATCAAAAATGCCAATGATTTTTTAAGGATAAATCATTCTTCCCATAATCTCCAGAATATGATCATGTCCACTATAAATCAAAAATACACCATTAAAACGAAGCATTCAAGAACGATACTGCTGGACTTAAGAAACTTGAACTTACAAGGAGCGTAAAATATTATCAGAGCGTGTTTTTTCTTCTTAACTTCAGTTTTGAAATTCTCCGCTGTTAAATGTAACACATGTACACCGTCAGATTGTTTACTCCATGAAAGTTCGGGAGGAGGAGGTTCTACTGGACTGCAATATAATAATCATAGCACAATGCATCTGTCAGCTAATAAAAAATAACAAACTCTAAAACACTTTCAGTCTTTGCTGAATTCATCAATGATAAAAAATTCTTACATACTTTTTCATGAAATTGTAAAAGCCATCTTCTTTACGTTCATTGATTTTCCACGCAAACTTTCCGTCCTTGAAGTATGCAAAGGTGGGATAACCCTCCACTTTGTACCGCTCTGCTATCTTTCTGAAAAACAAATTTGATAAAGCGATAAAGAAAAAAAAATTGAAAATTTGATAAAACTAATGAAGCAAGCGAAAGTACGTCTTCATATCTTCATATAAAAAAGTAAGCTTAATTTTATAGTATTCAACGTATAGAAATTCTATATGAAAACCTAAAGACTTTTAGGAAGAAGAACGAATATATTATGAATTTCACTAGTTAGATTAGAAATTCCTTCTTACAGTAGCACAAAAAAAAGTAAACTACATATTGCTTGTAGCATCGACAGCGGCTAAAACACCATCAATACCATCCTTTTTCAAACGATCAGCTGCTCGAATGAATTCCGGTTTTACCATCTTACAGTGGCTGCACCCGAAAACAGAAAATTTGGAAAAACTGATTCGTAAAAATAAAATTAAAACAATAAGAAAACCATCATCTGACTTAATTATCTTGTCACGTCACGCATAATAATAGTTGAGAACGTGTTTAACATGCAGTTCTATCGATACCACTGTATTCATAATTCTCGCTAGTTTTCAGGTGTATACAAGAGTTTTCCTAACATTATTATTCATAATATTCAAGAAGTAAATATGTTAATTAAACTGACTGACATAAATAGAAATAAACATACAAGGAGCATAGATAAGGACCAAAACGCTTTGGTGTTCCGCAACAAATTCATCAAATGTATCATCACTTAAAAGAACCACTTCGGTAATGGTTTCAGCCCATGAAATCTCTTCCTCTTCAGGTGAGAGAAATGAGTCTTGTTCCACTGGATTTTTAAGCCACTCAATTATGCCATCCTAAAATAATGCAATGAACTACAGACACATGTATAACTCAAGCATTCGTTAAAATTACTCAAAACTGAGCAAATTCAATGAAATATTTCTATACTTACTTTTGAATTTTGTCCTTTATATCTAAATTTATGAATACCACCCTCAAAGTACTCAAGTGTTGGATAGCCATCAATGCCAAACTGTTTTGCCACAACTTCGTTCCCGCGATACGTTAAATCCATGCCTGCTAATACGATCTTTCCTTTCAACTGATCTGCTGCAGCACTGCAAGCAACATCAACGGAGAATTACATATGCGCAGTGATAATTCTGTTCGTTTCATGATTTGCATAATCAACGACCTTTATCGACGAGGTTTTGAAAACCGGAAATTCAGTTAGCCGATTAAAAAGGAATACCTAAATTCCGGCTTCAAACGCTTACAGAAGCCACACCAAGGAGCATAAAACATGACGAGTACCGGTTTACCACTACTAACTGTTTTTTGAAGCGCATTAGAATTGTCTGAAATTTTCTATGATCGAATGAAAGTTCAAGGTTTCACTAATAGTGAGATAAGTAAAACTGAAAGTTATAAGTCTAAACGTTCACTGTTTACACTAGACCAAGAAGGAGATCTAAAAATTCAAATGTGAAAATAAAAAAATTTAAAAATAAATCCTCCAATACATCTGTGAGAAAAAAATCACAGTCAAACCAATACAGAAATGACCTTTAAAAGAAGTATGAAAATAATTAGAACTGTCACCTAAGTGAACGACGTTCACAGCTGTCGGGTCTTCATCCCATGGTATATCACCTGTTGGATCTAGCAAGAACCGATAGATGCTCTTTGTATTTATCTTCCTATCATAATCTTTGTGAAACTCACCATTTCTGCAAATAGCTTCAGTTCAGTTCACATCTGAATTAATGCTAAATTTAAATCCAAATGTAATACCGACTCAACTAACTCGACGACAAAGTACCATGTCGCACTTACATGTGTCATATTTTATCAATTTGTATTTATCTAAACTTCTGAAAATTTTCGAACGTAAACGATGAAAAATTAGAGTGTATTTCAATAAGCTATTAAACGAAAAAGGTTCCGCTACACTTGTCATCTCACTTTTGTTTCGTGTAGCGCTCCAATTCACTCCACACTTAGTAATAGCGAAAAGAACTTACTGGTAATGTTTCAGAATGTAAGGTTTCGGGATTAATTTAAGTTTTTTACATAACTTTTTTGTTTCACCATCGTTACAATTAATTTGAGCAACAGTGCCTTGCCCCACTGCTTGTTTCGCAGCTTCTGTTGTGATTTTTATCACTTTTTTCAATTGGCTATTTTTATCCATAGAAGAATTTGAAAATAATATCAACACATTTTTATGCACTCGTAATAATTTCTGCAAAAAAAGTCCATATGTTATGGAATTTTACAACCTATTAAGTAAAAAATACACTTGAAAGTCTGTAAATACAGAAATTATTGACTAATTTAAATAGCAAACCAAATTTGGCTTTTGAAGGAAAAGAAATTTGAACCACTTAACTAACCTTGTAGTCTTTTTGGTCATTGATCGTTACAATATAGCTTCTTTCAGATACGACATTTAATAACAGGGATGAGGCAATCAGTAACTATAAAGTCAGTAAATATTTTAAAGAACTAGAAAAGTACTCAATGGCAGGAGAGATTCATTATCTTTTTAAGAACATTATATTTGCTATGAAGAACTGCAGAACATTAAATGTGCCAATATCGGCAATTTCCAACTTCGAATACTAGCAATTCTAAACTTCATTTAGCAATCGAATTTCATCAAATTGGTAGTGGTAGTGAAAAGTGGTAGTGAAATGGTACATAAGTCAAGCCTACTACATATGAGACCAATCGGAAAATACCCTCACCAAAGCAAATAAGCGAATAATCAAATTCATATTGGCTCGAGCGTCATTATTCTTACCTGAAAAAAATTTACGGTAAAACACTACGATTTCCTTTCTAAGTGATTCCCTGCATTCCCGAGAAAATGCCACAAGAAACCCAAAGCTGAACAAATTTTTTCATCTTGAAGATAATCACTAGGACGTTATCTATTCAATATCTGTGTTAACAAATAATTGTTGCATTTTTACTTTTACATTTGATTCCATACAGGCGTAGCGGAAAAATATATCTTGTAGTTTTAACTGTTGTAACAATAAATAATAGTAAAACCTGAGAACAGAAACATAAAACAAACACTTCGGATGAATGAGCACAGAACACCGGAATGCAACCAGAACTAGAAGAAAGAACGAAGGCAGTTGCAACACATGAAGTGAAATAAGTGTTAAGACATTCTGAAGTAAAACAACTAGCCAAAAAACACAACAAACAAGTACTAAACAACAATTTAATTTAACATAGTAATACAACCAAAACAGGAATGGTAATGGTAGAGGAGGTAGAGGAAGAATAATGATATATAAGGTATGCATAAAACACAACTGAATACAACAGTAAAGGCAAAATGGCAACTGGATACAAAACTGAAAGCTTACATAAGCTTCCTGAATGATTAAATTCGATCGAGACGGAAGAACAAACGAAAACCTCTTTTCCTTGTAAGAATTTAGAGAGTAAAAACACAGGTTTCAAATTTATGTTTTCGTCGCAATGAACTCCTCAAAAAAACGATAAATAAGCAGAGCTCCGGTGACATGTACATTTAAGCTTCTGGTATGGCCAATTTGTAGAACCTCAACAGTTTTATCGAGATAGCCTAGCAAATGCATAGGTATTCCTTCCTTTTCGTTCCTGTAAGCAATATATTTTAGCTTCAAACATATCAAGAAAATTTCGAAGCTTAAAAATCAGAGTCTCATCACTCTTCAGATAAAATTAACGCAGTTTCCACCTGATTTAAATTTGCTTCCTTTGTGCAATTGAAATAAAAAATCTTACCCAAGCAACAGAACCATTTTTGACGGAAAACGAATTTTATGCAATGGTGTACTATTTGTAGTTTGTTCAGCACCAATAATCACATAGCCAGAGTTACGGAACGACAGTAAAAGGTTCGGCAACTCTTCCGGGCGTGACTGGAAGCAAAACTAATGAGACCGTGTTAAGCAGAACATGCTAAGCAGAACAAAATATCTAATGTAGCATATTTTCTACCTCTTCCAAATTCATCCAGTTCTCTGACGACAAGCTAAGCGCCATAAAGTCTCGATCCTTTATTTTCGCAAGATCTGCGACAATCAACTTTTCGACTCCCAATACTTCACACGTACGACAAATACCTATGATTATTAAGGGGAAGATCTATATCGTTTAAAAGAATTTGAACTGTAGCACAAAAATAATGCGTGAATACATGTCCCAATTGTTATAAGACCTTAGAAGCTCATAGGATCAATACTTGAATTCTGGAAAAATACTTGAAAATACTTGAAATCCAGTTTGGATAAATAAGTTACCTCCTAAATTTGCAGCTTTATCCAGAAGAGAGGCAACCACAATGAGAGATACACCTTCGAGCAACGCTCGATTTACACTGACCGCGTTAAACTTCCGCTGAATGACCGATATATCCGAAAGACCATCAGGTTCGCGAATCTGCTGATGTCGTTGTACCTGAGTTTGACCTAAATCGTTGGAAAACAAATCCATTTACAAAATAAAAATGACAAGCAATCATAAACAGCAAGAAGCAATTCCAGTACAGTAAATTAAATACTGTAGGATTTTGCTAGCTGATGAATCAGAAAAACGAAAGGCAACGGGTCATTTGTCGAAGCTGCAGAACCTTTATGAACTTCATAAGAATAAGATGTGCAGAAAAGAAAACAACTGATGAATAAGGTACTTTTTCCCCTAACAATATAATAAAGTATTTCAAATATGACTAGGGATGCTTCAAAATGACATATCAAAATTAAAAAATTGCTGTTTCTTGCGGTAAAAAAACAAATAAGATTAAGCTTACCAAAAACGAAGGACGGATACTGATTCAAATTGTCTGAATCCCTGTGTACACAAGCAAAGTCATCCATCGAGATGCATTTTAAAAGATGAGACATTATAGCATCCTGTGCCGTGAGTCCTACTTTTTCCGGAAGAATTGTTAAAACTGTCTGAAAGAGTGTTCTATACTAATGATATCTTCAAAAAGAAAACAAGATGGTCCTCATTATGTCAATCATCCTTCTACAGTCCAACCCCATCACAAATCAAAATAAAAACAAATATGTACCAAATCATTTAATCTCATAAACCAGGATCTGGATTGGACTGAAGAGTACTTTGAAAATAGCTAGATACATATCATTCAGATCACCAAACTGAACAACAAATGATATACAACCTTCTTCATACACAAGGATGATAAAAATTTTTTTTTTTTTTTAAATGACAGTACAGTATATTCAAGCTCTAGGTGCTGCAGTGTAATTCAATTCGATCTTCCTAGTAAGAATTACTCTCGCATTATGGAAATTCTACAGTTATGAGGAAAGTTGAAAGACCTAGTCACACTCAACAGATTTTGTAATACTGTTCAGTACCAACCTCCAAAGAATAGTCAACATTCTCATCCAAATAAGCAAAATAGAAATCATTGCATAATCTGTCAATTATACGTTTCGTGTTTCTGAAATAATTTCAAAAATCTATGTTCAGTTCGTCATCAAACAAAATAACAGCAGTTTCCTCTTAAATTTTTTCTCCGGAAAATTACCAGATAGCATACAAACAAAAGAATGACATTCATCAAAATACCCTGCTTTTTCGGCATCAAATTCGATAATACAACGTAAATAATGAAACTGATCACGCAGTTTGTTTCCAACAATATTCCAAAGCAATTTGAGAGCTGCCAATGAAGTACAGCGGACGGTAAAATTTTGTGCAGTACACCACGGGTGAAATAATGTAAAGCATTGAGTAAATGCAGCCTGTAAAATACCGAAAATTCTACCCCGTGAAGATCTTCAATTAAAAAAAAAAAAAATCTCTCATTTCAGCTTACACAACACGGTCAGGAAGAACTCAATTCCAAATTATACCAGACATGCAGAAGGTCATGATTGGTGATAACACAGAAAAATTAGAAAAAATGAGTAGTAATTTACGTCTGTTCGGTTGATCTTCGTGACGTGCAGTAATATTGCAATCCATGAACTAATACTTCCGATTCTAGCAGCAGCAAGCTAAAAATTAAACGAGTAAAACTGCAACACTGCCTCAGACCTCTAAGAAGGTAAGATATTATATTAGTTTAGTTGTAAGGAATCTAGAAAAATAATTCCATACTATATTGAAATTTCAACGCAGAGAGAGGTAGATATGAGTACAACAATCTATTCTATAATTTAGTAGATATGAAAAATATCCACCAATAATAACAAAGCACATCACGATCTTTCACTGATTAGCCTTGTCAGCAAACTCGAAAAGGGCTTAATAGAATATGATTACAAAAGAAGATATTTCAAGATATTTGTAGTCTTACTTCTTTTTCAATGCCAATGAATTTCTGAAATGCATCTTCGTTGTTGCAATACAGTCTCACAAGTATCCAGCTCACGAGAAGTCTAATAGATGGTTGTTGCACAGGTTCTTTTAAGCATTTTATGCAAAACAATTCCAATTTTTCCAAAATTTCCTGAACAGTCCATTATAAATTATAACAAACATTTTTGGAATATGAAGAAACAAAGAACCAGTAATCCGTAAGTACGAGATATAGTGAACGTAATTTCCTTGAAATTCATTCAAATCAAATACGTTGGTAGTAACAAACAATTATACATCAATACATTTACCCTGCTTGCGAAACTGTAGATAAGCAATAGTAACTGCGACAGGCGTGTTTTCTTTCGATGAGCCAATGACATTCCGAAAGATCTTAAATAAATAAAGTCCCTAAATGAGCAAAGGCAGTGTTTAAACATGGATCACAACCAAAAAGTATCCCGAAAAAGTTATGCGCTAAGCAAACATTTTGAAATTCAAGAATTTCAAAAATACCTGGAATAATAGGTACAAATTGATAAAAACAGTTCTGTAACTAAAGCCACCATAGAATCTTCAATGCCGAAAATTTTTAATGAAAACATAAGTACTTATTCTTCGAAGCATCAAGAGTTTCCATCATGACAAAAGTCTCCTGAATAAACTTGTCTGCGGAACCACAGCGATTTTTGGAAATCCAAGAAACCGTTTGTAAAGCACGAAGTCGGGAATATTGAGCACATTCATGTAGTCTGGAATATCTCCCGCTTAAACTTCCTGATTATTTACACAAGAAAAAAAAAACTCTCAAATTTTGTGGATTATATAAATGGCTTAAAACCTTAAAATTCTGTATTTAAAGAGTATAATACCATATGTCCACTAGCACAAAAAAAAAAAAAAAAAAAAAAAAAAAAGCAACAATACTTCTCATAATTGGCAGTCGGTAGTGATTTCTCCATCGCATAAGCCATTTGAACAGCTAAATTAAGTACTGCAGTGTCTTTTTTACAAACTGGTCCAAAGGCACACATTTTAATTAAAAGTGGAAACCAAGCGATACACAGGAATTCTTTAGCTTGATAAAATGCGTCTGACAGTACTACTGCAATTTGTACGTTCTGCTCACTTTCACCACACAATTTCTCAACAGTTTCCTGTAATCATAGAGAAAAAAGTTTCGTACCTGAAAAGTCCATGGAAAAAAATTAAAATATAATATACTGTGTTATATATATATGACCAAAATAACAAAGGATGTTCCAATCATCCGAAAAGCAAGGCAGATTAGAACATTTAGACCGCCGGTAATTTAATGCATGCTTTAATAGTGAGTCATTGCCATAAATTAACTATCAAAACAAGTTCATACTACTCGTAAGAAGTCTATTCATTTAATCCACATGTTGGTTAGCTACTGCCATCTAAATAGAAACTGGCAGCTAAATAAAAGAATTAACAAATTAACAAAAAGGAAATAGGCAATGACAAAAAAAGGAAAACCAACACCCAACAATGTATTACTTTCGTGCAGTAAAAAATATTCCAATCAAAAAAAGGAAAACAAAAAAATCACATTAAGTTACCAGTGCAATTTTGTCAACTCCCTGTGTACGCAAAGTGCATTCCAATGTGCAAATTGCTAAAACATCACTGATCACAGAAATATAGTTAAGTGTCTTTTTTTCCTCATTGGCAACTGCCAACACCACTTCAATGCTTTGTTCAATCATCCAGCTGATTGGCACCTACGATTAAAATAAAGTTACTCTCATAAAGAACTCTGAAACATAATATTAGTAGATGAAGTGCAAATTATCTTATAAAAAATATATCACTGTGAAAGGAAGGGAATAATACAAGAACAGGGTCAACACAAGGACGTCAGGAGATTTCCTGTAGTATGCTTGCTGATAAAGCATCTGGTCATGTATCTAGCATATATAAATTCTTTCGTTAAAGAAAAAAAAATTACCAGCATTCAACAAACATACTACATATTCATACTTAGCATAACAAGAAAAAATCGTTGCAAAGATTCAGTCAAAAGAACTGTATGATCTTTCAACGCATTACACTTTCAGGTGGATGAATGACAATTATACAAAAAACTTCTCACACACAAAAAAAAAGAGGCTGACGAAACCATTCAAACCGTTCCACTTCATTCATATGCAAGATAGCTTGGTTAATCAGATATTAACATGTTAGTTTAGTTTGTACCAAGCCTCTGGGATATCTTTCGATTTGTCATTCAATATGGCTTAACTACTTATGTTTCCTTGCCGCAATGATAAACCCAACTGATATGGAAACAGGTATTAAAAGTACCGAAAAGATAAAAAAACTGAATACTTTTCTTAGCACAGTTAGCAACAAATCCAGAAAAGCACGGCGACAATCCCAACTGAAGAATATTTTCAACGAGTTGATGCAAAGCTTGAATATGGATATAGAGTCAAAAGAGTGATCAGCTATAAAATTTCGCCACAATACGGATTTATTCTGTGCGATGGTTTCTCCAAGCATATCCATTCTACTTACATTACTGCAACAAAGAAAATATGATTATAAAAACGTTAACAAACAAACGGACATGAATGGAAAAGTATCAAAAATTAATTCTTCATAGAAGTCTTTTAAAAGCTAGAAAAATAATTTCCACACAGCTCTTCTAGAAACTGCAAACCTTATTCCAGAAACATTTTCTTCCGACAACAGAAAACTGAGTATAGCATTCCAAGCCATTTGAGATATATTGGTATATTTCGAGATCAAAACTACTGCGACTGAAGACAGTTCTGCACGTCTCGATGGCGAGGTGGTCTAAAACAATTTAAAACGAAAAATTATTCATGCCATCTTACCAATCTATAAATAAACATCATCGACTTCCAACTTTAAGAAACCACTAGAACAAAATGTAAGAAAGGAAAAATAAGACTTCATCTGGTTAAAAAAAAACAGCAAATACAAACTTTATTACAAAGCATCATCGAACGCATCAGCCACTGTTCAAAATTCATACCGTGCATCATTGTGAGCAATTTTTTATGCAAATTATTAAAACGTTTAGAATCAAAGACCTGAAAAATTAAATGTGAGATATATACAAAAAGATATACAAAACTAAATATGTGAGATGAAATTACACGACCAATATCTTCAGAATCTTTTTCAAATTTATTTGTTACAAATAAAAAAAAAGACAAAATATCGACAAAATGATTAGAATTTCTAACCACATACAAAAGTTTACCTCATTCATATCAGCGAAAAGGCGTGTATCTAAATATGCGACAAGACCATATTTGAGGTACTGAGAATCTTCTGAAACACGATAATTTGTATGGCTTTAACAATAAGATCAGAAGTTCGTTTTACAGAATACAGAAAATGAGTCAGACTTTACTAGCACTATACCCCATTCACCGACATGAGAAAAAAAGAATAATTTTTTGGGAAAAATGCCCTGCAAAATATTGAACGGTTAACAAACGAGATATCATTCCTCATTAAATGAAAGCAGTTAATTACTGAAAGATTAAAATATTATACCAGCTTCCTTAAAATAAGCAGTTATCTGCTACAATTATCTAACGGAATGATAAACTGAGTAAGAAACTACTTCAATATATTAAACTCAATCACTGAACTACATCATAAAATTAAGAGAGAATGTTTCATAACCATTTTCAAAAAGTTTGTCATCCAAAATTACAGTATAGAGCTGCAACATAACATCCACAGTTTTGAAGTCGTGAACAGAATATGAATCAACTGCTGACAATGAGCATAAAACTCCCATGGCCAATTTGTAAGCCCGTCCATGATCCAATGCCTATAATAATCAAATGATCAATTTCACTTGCCATAGCAAAAAATTCGCTCAAATTGAATAACAGATTATAAGACAACTCTTCTCGATTTCGAATTCTACTGCGACTATTGTAAAAGATGCAATGGTTCAAAAAACCAACTATGTGTAGGCATATACGCATGTTTCTGTGAAAGAAGTGAATTATTTCCAAGTTCAAACAAGAAAAAAAAATTACTATCTTCCATGTATAAATTGCATGAGCAAGCCAATTGCTCCGTCCAAAACAGCATGATACGTATGAGCGTTGTAAATCTTCGAGTTGTTCCATCATATTTTTCGTTAATGTTTCAGTAAAAGTTGTATTGTAAAAAAATTCTTGTAATAAAAACCCATATTTATTTTCCGGTAGCTCTGATAATAACGACGCGAAACAATACGCTTCATGCCAGTTCTAGATATAATCATGGAAATTGTTGCGAATTCAAATTCACTGAAATTTGCTGCAAAAAAATCGAAAACGAAAGTTCATTTTTTTCAAAGAAACCCTTATTTGTAAGGAAGGAAATATAATAGAAAGATATAATGAAATAACAAACCCTGTCAGCCAACTTGAAGAAAAATTTCAAAAAATTTGCTGTAGTACAAATTCTAAGTGGAAGGTACGGCATGCGAGCAACTGCACTCAATACCGGTCTACAAATATTCAGTATAAAGTACTTTGAGATATACAATTATCAAAACATGTTGAAGAAACAGAATCACCTGCACAATGTCAAACAATTACTGTATATCGGTGCCGGCGTGCAAAACTGCAATGAACAGGAAACGAAAAATAGTGACGTAGAGCTGGACACGTGCACCGATAGCAGTAGCACGAATGTTTTGAAGAAATTCTCTAAAAACGTATGATTTTAATTGCTGAAACCTCATAAGAACAAAAATAGATGCTGGGAAAAATATGGTACTGATATTCTACTTTATACTGACCATAAGAATGGTGGTTATTGCATAACTATGCTACCAACTTACTAATATATTTTAGTAAAATACGATCGATCAGCCTAGTTCCCTACTAATACTTAGATTTTAGAAAATTGGTCAAGAAATTTATTAAATCAAATACTACTTGACCAAACCTCTGGAAACTAATGAAAGTCTTTAAGGATTTTTAAGAATATTCATCCACAAAAGTCATTACAGAAGTAGTACATACTTTCATCGTCTCCCGAACCAGCAGAAGCAATACGTTCTAGGAAAGACCCAAAATCTTGGATAAAATTGTTTAGTTTTGCATCTTCAATAAGACGCCAATAAATATTACTGCTACCAAGAGCAGCCAGTAGGCTTGATAAAATGATCTGAAAACATTGTCAGTTAACTGGAATTACGCACCGATATGAATTACCACCACAGTAACTAACACGCATTACTTTAACACAAGCCAAACAAGAATCATTAATGAAGGAAGTTCCACTTCGGTGGATTTTCTCAATGAACAACAACATTTTCAAGCAAACATATACGAGATAATGCCTCGTAAAGTTAGATCCAACAATGGGCTTTGACTCCTGTAAAGAGATACCTCCCTGTAATACTGCTAGTAACAGTAACAGTCTCCTCTCCTTCTTTTCTCTTCCTCGTTGTTTCAACCTTTTCTTTTATGTTTTTCACTCTTACCTGCTATCTTATTTCTTTTTTTTTAAACTAGAGAAATCCATTACTGACCCCCTAAGTGGTATTAGGACTTCAATAGGATTCAAAAAATGATTTCAGACATTAATTGATGAATGCACATTGATCTCAGTTTGCGAATGAATTGTTCAAGAACCCATTTTTTAGAGAAATAATTACTGATGTCAAATTATGTAGTCATATCAAATTTGATATCTCCGTATTCAAGAAATTTTCTCGAAACAGAAATGGCTGTTCTGTGGTTTATGAGGTACAATAAAAGGCAAATAAAATAAAGCGTAGCATGTAAACAATTCATTAAACCTTAAAATTATTCTATTAGTGAAGATAATAATGAAAAAAATATCTAAAACTTACTGAATAATCTGTCTTTAGCAATGCTGCATCGATAGAAAATACCTTTTGAGCAGCCCAAACTCGTATCCATCCATTCGGATGATCTAAGGCTCTCACAAACAGCAGCTGTACCCAAAACCAAGGCAAGCTATTATCATTTTCCATGGTGGCTTCACATCTGCATAGTATACGGTTGAAAATGGGAAGAACTGGCTCCACCAAGTGAAACTACAAAAAGATTTCGATTAATGAAATCACTCAAACTATTTAACCATTTATTTATTAGGTAATATGCAAATGACCAAAGGCAATTACTATACAGGAATATAATTATCAGTAATAAGGTTTCATTGCTTTTTGATTCCAGAAAACAATTTTTTTCATCTCTGTATTAACTAACCTGTGATTCCTGCAGAACATCCATCAAAATAAAATAATCTTTCCAAACTGTTCCAGTCTTCATTTCCTGCAAAGCACACAGTGCAGCTTTTCGAACAAACTGACTCTGACCATAACAAATAAAACGGTGAATGATTTTTTCAATCTGAAATAGTTTTAAATAAGATTTTCCATCAGTTACAACATAAAAAAGTTGCATAAGTAATCCTAACATTTCATATAGAAAATAAACTCAACCAAAACAATTTAAATGCTCTAAGAAACTTGGAAATTCATTTATACTATAAAACAATGAAGAGAACTTTAAGACGTCATTTAATGATCACAAAAAGAAAAAAGTATTCCCTATGAGTGATTAAAGTAACAGCTATTGTCGCTATAAAAGCTAGTTTAGATAAGATACAGTTATTTCGAACGTTGGCGTCCTCGAAAATGGAAAGCAGCGAGAGAAACAGTGAATACAGAGAAACAGAGCTAGAGATCAGGCTTCAGTGAATTTTACCTGAGTGACATTTAAGATCTTCATGTTAAATGAAATTTTTTCGTTTTTTTTTTTTTTTTTTTCAGAAACTTAACATCTTCATTAAAAAGGGCTAACTCTATCGGTAAGAACTGGCAAGGCTCTTCTTGTTATTGTAAAGAGAGCCGATACCATTGTTTCCATTTCATCAACAATCGCATTGTCAAATAGCCTGAATAAAAATTAGATTAGTTGTTGCAGCTACCAGGAACATATGACAATTCCGGTTTTCGACGGGTTGCATGGCATAGAGGATTATTCAATTTTATGAAGTGGAAATCCACAAAAATAAGTAAAAGCTATTAGGACACATAAGGATATTTTCATCCGTCATTTCTTGTAAGCAAATAATGTTTCTTTTGGGCTAAAATAAAAGGAAACATGCCGTAGAAATGACAAAGCTTCAGTTTCCGAACAGTGCTTGCAGATTTCGGTGACCAAATCTGAATTCTTCTGTTCAACAGCTGTCTTCATTCTACTGCTACAACATAAATCATTCCTTTACTATAAGATTAGATCAGTTATTCAGAATACTTGTAAAAAACTAAAAATATTGAAAGTATCACTTCCATAACGTAAAAGTTTCTCTACTAATATATGGTTAAGTTAATAACATTAATGCAACTCACAGTAAATCATATTTGCTTCCTTGTCGTTCTTCCAGATGTTTCCTAGACATATCTGAAACAAAACATTCTTAGTTGTATAATTAATAATATTTCATGAATTCCTTCATCACATTTTCTTCCCATTCTTCTCATCTCAGATCCATTTGGACCACAATATTTTTGGGATAAAAGGATTTAGAAAGAAATTTCATAAGACTTTATCATTCTGCATGAATTCGAATTTAAAAGACATGGAATTTATGGAAATCCCACAAGTTACACAGTTTGAAACTAGTGTTAAGACATTACTGCTTCCGATGTATATGTTTTATTGGTACTAAAAATTTACCAATTTATATAAATTTCAAGAGAACACACTGTTAGTTTTTTTTCAGCATGTATGTGTTTATTATGTTTTTGTCGGTTAGTGAATAGACAGAAAGCAAAAGCGGTGAATAAAGATTTCCATTGTTGCACAGCTTAATTTATAAAATTCCCATATTCAACTTCAGTATCATCTATTGCGTAAAGTGCCTTCGTATACCGTCGAATCATCTTCCCTTTTCCTTAGTTTCAAACTACGTAACTTAGTGTTCAATGTTTTGAATCCTACAATTTCCGCTTCTAGAATTAGCTTGCTGAGCAGAAGAATGCTAAACAATATCAGAGCAGCAACTGGTGGTTCAGCCCAACTGCAACCGAATGAATCTCGAATCAAAAAATTCAGATTCCCGGACAAACAGCTAAGGGAATTTCTGCCGTGTGGTAATTGGTGGATGTCCTTCAGAGCCTGTGTCGTTCGTCAGAAAGGACAAACAGTAGAGAGACGGGATGCACCGCCTTTCCCCTTCGCCCAATCTTCCACAAAGTACGTTACTCTTGCGTGATTCTCCTACAATGGTTATTGGATTTTTTATCATAGCAGTCAATAAAACTCGAGTTTTCCAAATGATGACATATATTAATATTAAGAAACACTGCAACTTAAATAACTTTTTTCCGAAAAGATATACAAATTTATGAAGAAATATTGATATCGGCATGAGAGAACAATAGTGAAAATCACTGTTCACTTTCAGCTTACAATCAAAGCAAAACTACATCGAATGGAAGTAAACCAGTGCATTTATAATCAAACAAAAATAAAAAGATAAAGTGATGAGTTTGTTGCTTACTAAGCTATATGATGTAAAATAATGGAATTTACAAGCAAAGCAATGATATATAATTACAATGATACAGTCAACTCAGTACTCCGAACTTCATCCTAAACTCTAGACAAGATTAAGAACCACTTAAGCTAGCAGAAAAAGTATTACGATCTGACAAAGACAAGCACGTTAGAATTCTTAATAAAACTCTAAATCTAATGATAATATATATTCATGTTTATGCATAACTATGAGGCCTGATAGGTTTCAGTGGATCAAACAACTTGGGATCTCTCAGATACTTTGGATCCTTAACGAATACTGGCATGTAACCAGCACGACGACTCAATGCAATTGTTTCCAATAACCTTCTCTGTTGTCCATTACAAAGTCCAGTGATGTGTCTGAAAATGCTGTCCCTTCACACCATGAAACAAAAACAGAGGCGAAGCAACATTTCATATTTTAATTTTTGAAAAAATGTAGAAAAATAGGTCTTACTGATCATAAACTCTTCCAGAAAATGTTGAGACGAACTGCTGCAATAAGCGAGCATTTTTGTAATCTAACTCAATTTTCTTTGCACATAAAAAACACTGTTTTACTGGTTTACAGTACGGATCTTTTCGCATCTGCACTACTCCATCGTCATCCTCCACCATATAGTCACCTGTCGTTACAGCACTAGACGACAACGACGCTCTATTTATCAAAATAAATCGCCTCAAACATGTTCTCAACGAAAGCATCCCTAAATTTGCATTTGGAAAAAATCAATAAACATCGATTCTCATATTACCAGAGTCATTACGCCTTTAACCAAGAAACACCTCCGAATGATAAATCACATAAATTTCAAATAGTCAGATAACTGATCAGCTTAAAACGATTTCGAGGATATTGACTTTCTCAATATAGAAACAACGGTAACAGTAAAGGATCTGCTTTTGGAAATAGAAACATATGAAAGAGGAACACAATATGTCAATACTTTTATTCCATACAGACACGCACAATCATCGATATCATACAAATAACATCGATAACCAAGTAGTAAAGTTTTCCACACCTTAGAACTGGTACTCTAGAGGTTTCAAAAAAAAAAATATTAGAGCAAAAGCTATTCAGATAACGCACTATAAACTGTATATATTACAAAAAATGCTCGTCATCCAATATCTAATCTAAAAATCTTCCGCACAATCACGAATTTCAAAAAAATATTACTGGCGCTGAAGTAAAAAAAGGGTCACGTCCGAGTTGATCAAACCCTGTAATAACAGATAAACAACGAAAAATATTTCTATTCAATCACATCGCCTTTCGCACCCAGTCTTTGCGGATCTTGACTAGGATAATAAACTTTCGTGGCTGACGCTGATATGTATGCTGTCCCTTTGTAAGATATCTGAAATTCACACAATATACTTAAGGATAGAGCATAATTCTTCCACGAATCCTTCGAGAATAAAACTAGCCATACCCTGCGAAATTAAATTAATAACAAAATTATAAAAAAAATTTCATCAATGCAGGAAAAATGTTTCACCTGAGGTACAATGAGCTGTGCAGGAGGTGTGTACGTTGCAGCTGGAGGTAAAGGAGGCATTGGTATGTGATCAATACGTGCCCGCTTAGATGAATTAGCTTCTTCATCGAATAAATCCGGTAATGGACATGCTAAAAATAACAAACGATTAACATTAGCTGCAAGACTGGAAAATTCTGTATGCAGTACTTTCATCATTTTCTCCTCACTAATGCTCTGTTAACTTCAGAAATGAAAAAGGAAAAATCTAAAATGTAAACATTGCAAAAAGAAATATCTACACATAGAAATTCAGACTAAACTGCGTGGTTCAATTTGACTTAAAAAGCAACGCGAAAAAAATTTACGATTAGGGAGGCCTGCGACTGGTTCCGCTCTCTTCTTTTCTTCTTGTGTATTCTGTGCTTGAGGCCGGCCCCACCTTATTTTCAGTCGTCTTCCTAAAACACCCAATAATGTTTGGTAAAGAATAGTTTTCAATACATGATAGTGTTACTGACTGAGTTGATTTGTCACTAACAAAGAACACTAAATGAGCACTGTGTGATAGAAAAATTGTCAAGTTAACATAATGCGAACAGCCACAGTTACCTTGCAGGATAAGTTTATTGAATGAACGTTCTGCAGCCTTTTCAGCAGCTAGTCGCGTAGTAAATGATATGAATGCACATCCTTTATTGGGCAACAAATTAAGACTACGTATCTCACCAAACTGATAAAAATAATCCCTGAAAAACTGTTCCGGTAGCAAGTAGTGGAAAAAGCGACTTCGTTTATTTTAGTTTAACGTAAAACTTCTGCACATCAAATATTACTAAGAAAGTGTAATAAATCCAACCTCAAAGCGACTTCGCCTATCATTCCAGCTGGACCTAAATCACCAACATACAATGTAGTAATAGTAGTATCTTCTGGAGCTTGTAGTACAGGCAGTGCTTTAGCCCGAGTCAGAAGTTTTTCCGCAACTGGATCATTGTTCCCGTAATAACGATCTCGCATGTTCTGATGACTTAACGGATCGTCAGGATCTGAAGGCTTTTCATGCCTGAAATACTAAGTGCTCAATAAAATTTCAAAAAGGGCTATTGAAAGAAAGAAAGCAAAATACAGACCTATATGGGCATTCTTCACCACGTCTGCATTCCCCTTTAACGAAGAATGAGCAAATGTGTGGCTTGTTCCGTTGATAATATGGTTGATTTCGGGCAAGTTTCTTCAGCAAATCATTTGATGCTATAAGAAATACTTATTTGCAAAACATCAACTTAATTATAAACTTCATTCTGTAAACTCGGTATGCTCTCTATAAAGTTATTAGACACGTTAGTTTGAAACCAGAAAATACTCTACGAAAAAATGGATAAAGTGAGAGAAAACTAACCAGAGTCAGTTATTTTAGCAAGAGCACCACCAGGTGTAGTACCATCAGTAAGAGCTAACTCCCGCTCTTGATTCTGAATGTAATAGTCGCGATTCGCGCCTTGCCTCGGCAAATCATCATGTATTTGTAATGCGTGGTCACGAACTTGTACAGGTAAACCTAAAATTCGCGTTTAACGTCAAGTAAAACACCGTTTAGTCTGACAAACTTGGACTTAAACAAAAATATCACTTGCCGAATTCGAGATCCAAAAGACAAGTCTGACAAACATTCTTCATTTTGGCACATGTCTGACATACTTCCGTTTTCTTATATCGCATTCCTTTCCCAGGCATCCACCGGAAACAAGTAAAGGGACGTTGACAAATTTTGCATTCTGCTCCATGCCGATCTTTCAGCTGAAAATTTAGCTCTAAATCTATTGCATTACCCATACCGGGGAAAAGATTGTGAAAATTCACATCACCACTCAACAAATTTCGAGGACTTTTCTTACCATTCTTATATATGGATTTGATCCAAGACATGTCTGGCAAAGGATCGGAAATTCCTGAAACACATAACATATAAAGACCATTCCAAGTTGAATTTACTTAAAAATTATAAAAACACAAAGTACCCGAGTTTTGTATTCTCCGTATCGACTAATATGCGTTTAAGCTTGGTAAGATTTGCTCAAAGAAGTGGTAAGATTTGCAATACACGAGGCAAATGCTTACCGAATCTTCCCAGGTTTTCCGATTATACTGGTACGATGATTTTGATAGTGCCATGTAGTACCCTACTTCACTAATTAATGAATCTTATTTTCAAGATTCCCTGAAAAAAACAAGTGAAAATTTCAATCACATTAATCAACGAAGCAACAAATTAGAACAACAATAAACAGCAATACATAGTTAATCCATAACTATGTCTACTAGATGGTTGCAATGATCCAAAACGGCCAAACTACTTAATTAAATCGAATGGAATAATCCCAGTCTAAAACTCTAATTAATCAAATCATCAAAGGGATCACTACATTTCGTGGAGAATTATCCTGTACCTGCAATTCACTAACGCCGAACCCTCAACTACCAGAGCTATTTTCATCAAGGATGGTGCATTTCATATTGGCCCTCAGCGTGTAGGTTCACGGTTGCATTATGCAAATCACGTACCAGCCCAATACTTAATGCCGTAAAGCGGTCTTTCGGATTCTGTTGGTTATGATTGGCTTAGTATCTCATCACTGTTCTACAACTTTTATTTTATTGTCAAGTTCGGGTTGCTCCTTTCATTTTATTGAAAACAGTTATCGCCATAAATGTCTAAGCCGTGGTGTTTTCTGGTTTGAAGAAAAACGAATTAAGCAAAAAATTGCATACAGTGCAGTTTCTTGTGCTTTCATTTTAATTTTTGTTAAATTTCGAAATTATTCTAACATTGTTGTGAAGCAGGATGTATAGGCATTGCATACAAAAGAAATCATAGGTTTAAATTGGATTATTGACCAACTGCAGTTCTATTGAAAATGGTTCGGTAGGTTTAGGACTAAACTGATAGCAACATTCAGCCGTCGAAGCGCTTGGTGACTGGACGGTTTATTCATTTTGTTCCTATAATTAATCGTATTTGTCGTTGATTTGAATTCCAAATTAGTATCTTATATGGTGATCTTCTTTAATTGTTACAAGTTTACTAATGTTGCGCAGAAGGCCATAGGAAAATTTAAACTATTGGAGATGTGTTACATTGCAGCACGAATGATTTAATTTTTTTTCTTTGGGTTTTTTTTTGGAAGTTTCTAAAGCTTATATATCTCTGAGTATTGGAATTTGGAATCTTTATTTATTTTCCGGTGTCGTCGTACGAACTCACGTTGTCAAAGATTCTGTATTCTGAGTTATTTCATATTTCAGATACAATCGTGGAGAAGACGATAGTCGGTTCGGTCTCCTGGATTATTACTCTGCCCTTAGGCAGGTTACCTGTGGTGCTCATTGAAATTGCTCAAAATTCTCACAAATTTTGGTCAGTTTTTAAAAAGCCGTAAAGGAGGTAACCGCGAAAGAAGAAGCAACGACTTTGGTAACGCTGTTCACGAAAGTTCGTAGTTTGAAGTTAAATTCGTGAAAAAATTTAGCGTTTCCAACGGATATAAAATACTTTTGGGTTTTGTAGGGGCATCAGAATAGTGCTGTGTGATAATTTCTGTTTGCTCTTCATCAGAACATCTTTTCCTCAGGTTTCTTACCCGAATTTCGGTCGCATGTAATTTTTTTCATACATCTCTTTCTAAAGTCATTTATTTTACCTTTATTTTTCTCATTTTTTAGGTTGTATGATTGCACTTCAAATGGCTTCTGCATCAGTTGGGTTGGATGATGTTGCATCGTCATCAGATGATTTTATGGATGAACAGTCTCATTTTTCTACTGCTTCATTGCATGCCGTATAGCTTTCATTTAGAAGTTTTAATGTTAATCTTTTGCGAAAATAGTATGATTATTGGAAGAGTGAGGATTAAATTTTAGGTTAGTGGAACAAATATATCCGATATATCTGTCCACCATTCTTCGTCAGGAATGGATATCGAGCAGCAAATAATGCCAGGTGGACAGAGAGTAGATGTTGCTTTGTCAAAAATGTGGATACGTTTGAATGTTGGTGGAACGGTTGGTTTCCTTGTTTCTAGTAAACAAATTGGTACATGATAAGTATTTAGCAAGTTTCATATCTTCATTAAATCAAACCGAAAAATTATTGGGATGGTCTCTGCTAATATTTCCTTGGTCCGCAAAGTAGACTTTGATCGCTTGAACTACAATTAAATTTGGAAGTAGCTTTTTTTTGTTGCAGATTTTTCAAACTACTCGACAAACATTATGTCGCGAAGCGAATTCATTTTTGGCTCGTCTGTGTAAAGAAGACGATGAATTGCCCAGTGAGAAAGTTCGTACTTTCTTGTAATCAGGATTTTAAGCTTCATATATTACTAGCAGAGCTGAAAATACTAGTGGTCTTGTCGATGAAGTAATAGTTCATAAACTAAGATAGTTGTTCATCCTTGTTTTCGTAAAAATTTCGGCTTGGAAAGTGAGCTGAAATTTTAGAAATTGGTTTCAGTATGGTTTAAATCTTATTTTAGGATGGGACTGGTGCCATATTGATTGATCGTGATCCAGAATATTTTGCGCCTGTGTTGAACTACTTACGTCATGGAAAACTTGTAGTAAACAAGAACGTGAGTATCGAAGGTAGGTGTACTGTGGTGATTTGACAGTAGTTAGTTATACCATTTTATGATTTGATTGCTAAGAATCGAAGGTTTCACTTTGCAGGCGTTCTTGAGGAAGCAGAATTTTATAATTTGCCGCGGCTAATTCAGTTATGTACGGAACGATTAGCAGAATTTGGCCTGAAAAAAGCGAGACAGGTTTGTTTGTAGTGAATGGTGTTGACTGTTGTTTGATGAAGATTGATAGCTTTTTATTCCCCAAAATCCTGTACAGTTTATACAAGTAAAACACTTCATCGACTTGCAGAAATTTGTTACTAAGAGCTACTACTATTATAGGATAACTAAGGTTATCTGTATTGGTAATTCTGTTTTGAGTAATTTTAATGAGACAGTTTATGATTTCAAATGAATTTCATTATTTTTTTTTTTAACAGTTGTCTTGCAGACAAAACATGTTTATCGCGTCCTCCAATGTCATGAAGAGGAATTGACAAATGTTGTGTCAGCAATGTCAGATGGTTGGAAGTTAGTTCAAGTACGTTTCACATTTTGGTTTTTATTGAATATAAAAAGTAGATTTTTCATATTGATTTGACCCGGCAAATCGTAATACGTGTTATTGAATTGACTATAAATTATTCTCTTTATCGAGTACATGGTACTTTGAGGAATAAATTGGTTTCGTGATTCGTGATTCTAATTCTTTTATTTTTTTTAAGCTTATTCCCATCGGTCAGTTCCAGTATCAAAGCGATATGCAAAGTGAATTCCTCTGTGTCGTTTCTCGGGAATTTCCTGATAACGAAATCAAAAATGGCGAACATACAGATCTCACTGATCGCGTTAAAGCTTTGCAACAAAAAGCTCGCCGTAAGTTAATAATTAGTAACTCGTGCCGTTACCGTGCTAACTGAAATATAAGTAGTAATTCGATTTTCATGGTTTAACTTTCCTATTATTTTCGATTGATTCTTTCAAAATAAAGAATTTCTGAAACTTAATAAAATTCGTCACATAGATATGTTCCGGCATTTATTTTCCGGCAGCGAATTGCATTGTACAGATTTTTACTAGTTTTAATGTGTGAAAATTTTTGTTAATAACAGTAAACTTTGCAGACCACTAGTGCTGGAAGATGCCCTTTTGTTTCGATTCAGGATAGCTTTGCCGCTCATGCTGCAATAGGGATTTTTTCGTTTAATCTGTGCTTATAAACAGTTATTAATAGGCATTTAAATTAAGCTTTATAATTTTTGTATCATTTTCTTGCCTTCTTTAAAAGAAGCCAATGTATAATTGCTATGTCTGACATACAGGCATATCATGATGCAAGGTTCGAGGTACACTTACCGCCGGTGTTATCAAGAAGAGATTAAATACTTGTAGGAGAAAATTAGTTGTAAAAACTAACTTTGCTTCTTTGAAATATGTATTCTTACGCCATTTATAACGAATACTTTTTGGTTTTGTTCTTTTCTGGTGCCGTGTATAGATTTAGTGTTGTTTTTATTGATGGGATATGTATGCATTTCATCCCGCTTATTGCCTTTTAGTCGCTTTAATCCATGAAAGTTGATGTCTTCAGTGATTAAGCACTGCTACTATTACAAAAGTATCTCATGTCCTTTGGTACTTCTCACTCAAAGAAATTCCCTACTGATCATTTCAAAAGTAAGTTTTAAAAGTTCAGGTTTATTATAATCCATAGTTTTCATGCAAAAGCGATTATATAAATGAGCTTCGTGATGTCAGCCGTTGTATTGAATTATTTTATAGCCTTTACATCTCACTTCATGTTCTTTCTTTTTTTTTTCGAATTTCTTGTATGCACGGCCATTTTTGCGCTCAAGTTCTGTTGTTTTTTTCTTTTTTTTTTTTTTTTTTTTTTTTTTGTTGCACATGAGATGATGGCGAAAACTCTGCAGTACCTTCATTTTCTTTTCTTGCCACTTTGAAGTTCTAACCTGAGTTAGTGGGTAAAGGCTAGAGAAGAGAAAGTGAAGAAGTTATAAATTGGTTTTAAATTTAATTTTAGAACCAAAATTTCTCCTGTTTTGGTAGGTTCTTTAGCTATTTCTGAGCTATCTGCATTCATGCTTTTGGTCTGTGCTTGATGGAATATCAGATGTGTGAGGAAAGTATGGAAAGGGAATAGCCAATAGGAATTGCAGATTAATTTGATTTGCTTGAGTAAGTGTTCAGAAAGGTTATTTCTTTCAGAAATAACCTGTCCTGTCTAAAACTATGATTCTTCATGGTTATTTGATACGCGTTTTCAGAAACCAAGTTCAGCGTCTGATCAGAATAAAGCAATCTTTTGAAATCAGAATACACAATTTGATGAAAGTGCAGACGATGAATTTGTAGACGCCTTTTATGTGCTCAAAGTTGATAGATACAGCATAAAGTCGTCGTGATTTTTTTTTTTTGGTATCTGTGAAGTCGCCATTTTTTGTTGCCGAAAAAGATGTTTGTTTTCCGATTTCATATTTCTTGAACAATAAAGTGTAAAACACGTTGCTTGCAGTTATAATATTTACTTACAGTTCTCGACGTTAAAAATAGTTTATCTCATATCCTTCCAATTGTTGTTTAAGTTATAAATCTGTATTTTTATGAAGCACAATAAGGGATCGTAAAGGGTTGCTTTGGATTGCGCTTGAAATTGCTGTTTACGCGATAGTTTTAGTTCATGCTGGCTAGTTTGACAGTACTCTTAATTAGGGTGATATGATTACAGTAAGGGTAACTTTCTCATCTTCAGTAATGTTTCTGTATTCTTTTATCGCAAACACCAAATATTATTTCGATTTTAACAGTTTCTTGGAAGACATTACCAGTTTCGTAAGTAGTACTCTTTTAATAATATTGCTATATCCGTTTTTTCATAAGTCGATGGACATTCCTTTTTTTTAACGTTTTAATGCAAATAAGTGGCATATGTCACATGGATTTTACGACAGATAATAGTTCTAGTTAGCAGTTCTTTTTAGAATGGAAACAGGTTATATTGATGATTTTATTCAAAATAAGTTTCTTTCAAACGGAAAAATAATATATTTGATATTTGTCTTATGGATGAGTTGTTTACCTAATTTTTTTTCTGCCTAGATGCAGAAGCATGTTTAGCTACCCGTTTCCACAAGGAAACTGAATTCATTTTCTTTTTGTTTAAATAAGGACAAGTAATAACAATGTTAATCAAAAGAAAAAAAACGGTTTTTGGCTTCTTTATCTCGAATTTTATTGTGATTACTTTCACTGAGTTGGAAATTTATCACGGAAAAGCTCAATGTAGGATATATGTGCACAATCTAAATGTCTCTCAGCAGGATGTAGAACTGAGAAGTAAGAAATTCCGATAACTTTGTTCATTCTGAGATAATTAAGAATAGACTGTGCACTCTCGATTTAATAGGTCATACACTTGACAGTTATTATTTTCATCCTTTGTAAAATTATTTTTAATCATTTGTTTTCTTTTCTTTCAATTTTTGATATTCCATTTTTTTTTTCCAGTCTGTTAGTAACAAGCTTGCATAAATGAATATCTCGTTTCTTCATTCCTAGCATTGTAAAGCTCTTTTCTTTCTCTCTGGTTTTTTGAGTATTAGATGGTTCCTTTCTTGTATGTCTTTACAAGCATTCACAACTGGCAAACGTTAGCAATTGATTTTTGTCCCGAAAAGGACATTCGAGAAGTTGTAAAATTTACTTTTTCTCCCCTGTTTTCTCCTGTCATGCGATGTTATTAAAAAGCCGAATAATGCTTCGGAAATTTCACTTTTTTTTTTTTTATAATTTAAAAATATTTTTATTGTGTTTCGGTAATTACGATATTATCTATGTAGTCACTACCTATTAAAGAGCCTGTATGTGTTTCATATGAACTTTTGTTAATAAGAGTCGTTTTTTTTTTTTTTTTTTGTGCGTTTAAGGACAACAAAAATAATTTAATAAATACGCTTTATAAAGAAATCTGACCTTTTTGTAACTAAGCAATTTATTCCATTATGTATTACGTGTGATGTGTTATGTGTTACAGTATATGAAAGTCACTGGCGTAGATGATTGCTGGCGTAGACATATTGATTGGTCCTCGTTAATATTATATAAAATTTATTCTCATATATCAATACTTTTTTAGTAATTTCATTAACGGGTTGGTTTGTAATGGAGAAGCTTCGGAGAGTGGATGATGCTGGTGATAATCGTTGGGCGGAATTGGTACTGTTTAACAGTTTTGTATTTAACGTCAGAATTTTTGGATTTCTTAATAATGTTGTATTTTTAAGATGTCCAGTTACTTTATATCAGGACTTTGAAAAACCTTTAATTTGGGTTTTCATTGATTTCAGCAGGAACGATTTGTTTCGGAAGCGCGTGACAAAGAAGCTGATGTTTTATTTCTGGGCGATGATCATATAGCTTTGCTTGAACAGTCAATAGTAGGTTGTTAATTCTTTCAACGAAAATTTACAGTTTAATAGGGACTATTTAAACTTTGATTATTAGTGATTATTAATGAAAACATTTTCCTTTTAGATGTATCGAGAAAATTTAGCCCCATTACACTGCTTATGTTTTGGGGCTTTTGGCGACAAAATCTCGAATTTGTCATGGAGGCTTGAAAATAATATTTTGGAAGGCTTGAATCCCAAAGTATGCTATTTCCTTTCGCTGTTTTTGTTTTCGTTTTATTGATTTTTGGGGCATTTTGTCAATCTACAGCTCTTAATTTTTTTTTTTTGTTTTTTCTTTTGACATTTTTTATTAAAATTTTGCATGTGATTGTTGTATCAATTGGCAATTCGGATTTCGATTTAACTGAGGAACAAATGTTGGAGGCTCTGAAAAGTGTCGCTGGAACTATTCGAAAGCAGAAGCCGTCAGCAAAATTGTATTTTATGGTAATTTGTTACTTTTGACATTTATTAATTGCACTTTGTTACAATAAGTAAAATCGAAGAGGCTGAGAGAAAAACACTGTTAAAAAATCAACCCAAATTCTATAGTTAAAAAATTTTTTAAGCAAACTTGTTTTGTAGAAACTTCTTCCATCCGGAAGAAGACCCAACAAACGACGTGAATTAGTGAATCGAATCAATGAAAGTTTGGAAAATGTATTGAAAGGTGTGGCAGATGTGATCGATGTGGAACCTTCTATACAAGGCTTGTTTGCTTTATTTTTTCTTTAAACACACATAGGTTTTTTGGTAAAGCTTATTGAGGTTTTATTATATCTATTCGTATACATTGTTTAACAGTCTAGCAGTACTCCTCTCTCTCTCTTTCCTACATATTCATTAACAATTGTATTTAAAGCATATTTAAAGAAAAAATTTTTTTTTGATCTTGATATAGTTCATTTTATGTTGCAATATATACGGAATGGTTGTCTTAAACTTAATCTTTCAGGTACGAATGGCCAAATTGAGTCTCACTATATGTTTGATTATGTTCATCTTACTCAAGAAGGTTATCGGAAAATCTATGAGCCCGTCCTTGTTGCTATAAATGCAGCGCTTAATCCAGACCCATGACTTTATTTCTTTAAAAAAATTTTTTTGTCACTGCTTTGTAGTTTCACGTTTCTTTCATTTATGTTACTGAGTTTTTATTAATGCTACTCAATTTTCTATGAATTTCTAAATTATAATTTGCTGAAATTCGTTTTTGTGATTATTTTGCGTGGTTCAACAATTTCGGTTTTTATTTGAAAGATGATACAGTGTATAGTTTTTAATCCTGTTTCATGTTTCAAGCATGTAGTGTTATACGCTTTAGTTTATTGGATTTTTTGCTTTTATAGCAATGAATTAAAAAAAAAAAAATGTACTTCATGTAAGTTAATTAAATCTGTACTTCTTTTTGTTGAATCTTTAAAGAATTTCACTTACGCGTGAATATGAGAGCTTTGTTAAACTTTATATGCTTTTATATTATTACAAATCATTCAAGAATTTCTTAGGGTGGTTAATACGTATTTTGATTTTATTTCAGTCCATTTTTTTCTTTCTGTTCCCTACCAATGTCTGTTTTGTGAAACACTGCTGTGATCTCGCCTTCTGGTTCAGCTCTATTCATATTACTGTCATCCAAATATGTGCTAAGCCATGCATGATTCTTTCCTTCTGGCTGTGAAATCTTTTAAAAATTACTTCGTGCGATCCTCATGTCTTTTTTTTACCATCTTTTGGTGATAATAGCAAAAAAATTATCTTATTGATAGTTGATTCTACCATAACTTTCTCACTTTTCTTTCTATTTTCAGCATATCTTTTATTTATTCTACAGCATTAACTTATATAATATCGCTCTGTTTATATTTCATCATTTTCACAGAGTGCTCTGCTGCATAAATGTTTTGAAAATTTTTATTCGTAGTTGTTTGCTGCAAATAGTTATATCTGTGAAGAGAAGTGATATCTCTATTGATGTCAGCTTATGCATGAAGCTATTAGAGAATTTCGTCTGCTGTTTTTCTTTCATATCTAAGTTTAAAACAGTTTATCGTTCTATTTTTCAGAAGGGAGATGTTATCTTCATTTCATTTTTTGTTAAGCTACTGAAATTGCGATGTTAGCTTCGGTAATTCTGGTGTCTACCAGAAGTGTGCGGTCACTCAATCCTCATTATTTCCGGCCACCTTGGCCGATATTTTCGAAAGTATGGCACTTTTGGAAGTGTTTCTATTGTTTAACTAGTGCCGTTCCGGTTGAAACTGATTTCGCTTATTCAATAAATTGCTACAGCTGTTTAGCAGCAATTGTGTCGGTTTATTAATTTATTGAAGAATGGATATAACTTATCGCTAAAACCTAACTAGAAAAGATGACTTTCTAGGCTCAAGGATGGCGAAAACGGGGTCCCTCGATACATGAGCGTTATCAGCTTCCTGGACAACATCGTGAATTCCCGGAGTTATCGCCGAAGTTCAAGAAAGAAAATCCAAAGGAACTGCATCGTGAGTTTCTTCTGGATATAGCTATCATCTATCGAATAAAAATTTTTTATGTTATAACATCTGTTCTTTCTAGACTATACTGGCGTTCAAGATGTCGGTTTTGTTGATCCGGTCACTGGAGAATTTGTTCATGTTAAGGAAATGTATCCAGAATTGATCGTTCCAGATTTACGAGGGTTCCGGTTGTGTCCGTATGTATCATATCGGACCGATTTTGAGATTGAAAAAAGGTCGACTGTTTCGTGCATATTTTATTATACTTCTCTCGATAGGTGGGAGACTTTACACATCTTTAAATTGCACTTTTTCCTCTATTCATTCCAAAAACCCATCCCTTTCTATATTAATATACTCATTATATTGGTAAATCTTCAAAATTTAAATAAGGTTTTGGCCAGCTTTTAGGAGAAAGAAGTTTGAAAAACTAACCGCCAAGTATGGAAGTGAAGAAGACGCTGACTCCGTGCTATTTGAAGGCGAACAATGGCCTCCTCCGAAAACAACACCGCGATTTTTGTTTGATATGCATTACGCACCATTAATAAGGTTTAAATCTTTGCTGTTTTTGTCTATTCAAATTTATTATTAAATTGGATGTACTATTTTTAGGTCTTAATTACCAGTTTCTTTCTTTGTGTTAGATCTGGTTGTTGCTTACAAGCCATATGGTTCCTTGAATTGTTTGTTTTTTAAAAGTTCAAAATCCTGTACTTTTTTAAAGGGACTTTACCGTATTTGAAATCTATGGTTTCAGGGAGATGTATAATGATGGAGAATACTTTAAGGATGTCGAAGTAAAAGACGAGATTCATGATGACAAGTCTAAGTACTCTTAATACTTTCGGTGTGTTTACAGACTTTGTATTGAGCTATTTTGTTTTTACGGTATTTTAACTTAAGTATGATTTTTGTGTTGCACTTTGTCATCCGCTTGTAGCAGTTGTTAGCTACCATTTGCAATAATTAAAATTTCTCCTCTTCTTCGAACTGCCAAAAATATATCCTCTTGGAAATTCATCGAATTTTCTTTTTTCTTTTTTTTTTTTTTGATTTCCGACATAAACGAGGAAATTGTGAGCAATTTATCAGGGTTAATGAAAAGCTTAAAGATGACTGCTTCTTCAGTTGACCCGTAACTTTGAGATTTGACCGTTTTAGTTAAGCCATAGCAGGAATGTTTCTTGTAGAAAAGGGAGGTTTCAAAGGCGCATTTCGTTTTTCCTAGTTCTGGATAGAAAGAAAATTTTATATACAATTAGTTTAACAGCAGTGCTATAGCATGTTGTGAAATTGGTTTATTATATTTAAATGATTTCAGATGTAGTTTAGAATTGTGCACAAAAAAAGGATGTATTTTTTGGACTTGTTGTATAGATCATATTGATTGTTGTAATAACGACTTTAAGGAGGGAGAAAAACTGGGTTTGAGAAGGAGGATAATCATCATTGCATCATCCAAACATTATATGATAGAAGCTGATTACGCAAATTCAGTGCTGAATAGCCAGGTGGGGTAGCGGTGCCTCAACCGTTAAAACGCCATCCGTACTTAGCGTACTGCTAATCAGTTCTGGATTTGTTCCACGGGGAAGCATAAACTCCTGAAATAGAATTATCGTTAATCCAGACATGTACAGGATGTATCGTGATTATTATAAATGGATCTAACTGTTAAAATCAAACTGCATATAAACAATTAGACGAAATGTCCGAAACCTGATTATATTCTCTGAATACGGCACGTTGCGGTGTTTTTTCTTCATGCTTAGCATGAACCAAAAGTCTGTTATCAACTGTTTTTACTGTTACTTCTTCTGGTTTGTACTGTGCAACATCGAATCTGAAATGAAAGTTAAAGTCTGACTTATTTCGACAAACTGTAGAAATGATGCATTTTTGTCTAATAACGACATGGAGTCATTTCCACGTTGCCGTGCAGTTTTAAGTTTTCTTGAAAATACGTCACAGAATCGTTAAAAAAATACCCTGAACTACAGCATAAGTCATTGCAAAAACATTTAGAGGTCTAACTGTTCATACGCCATAATTAGCGATATTACAGGCTGTTTTTCGGAAAATATAAATTAAGTAAACCTAAGTCTGAGTGTTTTTCCATCACTTTCATCTTTGATAAGCGGTGATTTAAGATTTTCCAGATAAGGATCGTATGTTGGTCGAATGGACATCATATCCGGTCGTCCAAAACCTCCCTCACTACGGAATGTACTGCTTGGTGGAGGAGGGCCGCTGCCCTGTAACTGATTGATTAAGAAAGCATGATATGAAAGTAATTAAATGGAAATCTGCCAAGAAGGATTTCCTTTTTTCAAATTCATTGGAAAAAATTTTAAAGGAAAACAAGCGATAGATTACCTGTGTTGAGGATGACTCGTAACGTCTGGATTCTTCACGATGATACGTGGTGGAGCGATTGTCCGCTTGTGATCCTGGCTGTGATGGCGTATATCCTACAAATCCGTACTGTAAGTCATATCAATTCTCTCTGTTTTATCCACTGAATATAAGGGATTCATATTTATCCTTTCATCTTCTGAGAGAACATAAACTTTAATATTCTCCAATAGCAATTTCCTGTTTTTTTTTTTTTTTTTTTTTTTTTTTTTAACTTATTTTCTTCCTCTTTTTGTATTTCGCTTTTTCTTTATTGATCTGTCTTTTCTTTACTGAGAAAGCATTAGAATGAAAAGTGCAGTCAATTTGGTTTAGTCAGTCTTAATTTTAAATAATAGAAGAGAAAAGGAAATGTGGTGCATGAAATGCATGAAATGAATAAGGGTTTTTAAGTACAAATATAGAAAGCATTTGTTGTTAAAATAATTAGTCTCGAGACAGCAGTGAATGGAATCCATTTATAGAAGCTCTGCTTAGATTCTCAACATCCTTAACCCTACATACTTATCAAACCATAGCAATAACTAATTGAGTATATAAAGTGAATAAATTACCATCTGAATAATTAATTAAGCAATTGACCGATGACTGCAACTGTCAGTTTATTAATCCTACTTATCTCTCTATCTGCTCACCTTGTTCATTCCTCAAATACGAAAACTTAAAACATCTATAACAATGTGATGTTTGCAGGTATCAATGCTTATTGAAAACATTACTATTACTCTAAATTTTTCATAAAATCTAAATACTGTTGTTAGAAATGATAACTGAGGATTACTTTTCTGATTCTACTCAAAGTAACATATACATTAATGTATGTTGATGAAGATGAGAGATAAATGAAATCACTAAAACTAAAAACAAAGCGATAAACAAATGGAATTATTGATCTTTCAAACAATAAACAAAACATATTTCTCATATAAATTGATGAGAGTGAAATTATGCAATTAGTTGATTTGTTAGCATGAAAGTAAATGATGTTTGTGATTGTATATATAGATATATGAGAAAACTGAGGCATATTATTACTATTAAAAATGTTAATGATTTATTTTTTCTGAATTAAATATGTAATGTCTCTCTAAAGATAATAATAAGCTTTTTCATATTGCATCATTCGTCCTTTTTTTTTTTAACCCATTAATTTTGACCATTGAT